TTTTTTTTTTTCTGGATTTTTGTATTACTATTCTTCTCTGCCCCTCCTGCATAGGTATTGATTGTCTTTACTTTATTTTCTCTATTTTGCACCCACCCTCCGTTTGGCGGCGACACAAACGGCATCATTGGCAGCATCGCGATTCCAACCCTTTTGCGATTTCGTTGCGGAACACTACGACTGTGAGATTTTCCTGCGGTCCGTGTCGATTTCACTGCGGCAACTCTCTGCGCTGCGCCACGTAGGGGCTTGCCTGCAAACCCACGAACCTCTTGACGCAGATCACATCCGGCGTTGCGCGGCCACCTCGCCCCTCCAAGCACCTCGGACGCCTCCCCATAACTTGGCAGGTGACCGATACCTAACTCCCGCGGCCTCTTGCCTGGTCGACTCTCCTTCTTGCGACACCTTCAACTTCCCTTCGTTTTTTCGCCGATAACATCTCCGCCGACGCAATCCCGCCGATCTTACACCCTGCCCGGCCGCCCTTGAATCCTCGCGACACAATCCGCCTCCGGCCGTGCCACCCTCTCAGACTCCTGAGCAATCTCCCCCGCCGACCTCCTCGACCAAAGAATGCCCTCGTTCGGTGGGCGTCTTGGCCGTCACCTTGGTGAAACTGTAAGCAGTTCCTTTGCCTCCAGCCGCAGGACCTGAAGAGGAAGATGAAGGGCAATAGGATCAAAGCCTCGGGGAATGGGGCCACGCCCGCTGCTAGGAAGTCGCCGTCTCGCCCCCCTGCTGTTCGTTTTAGAAAAGGGAACCGCGTGGAGAAGAAGCCCACCAAGTCACAGAAGCCAGTCATCAGGATAAAGTTCAAGATGCGCAAAAACAAGCCTGACAATGCTGAGCAGCTAACTCCATCGAACGGATATCTGAAATGTAAGTACACTACGGGCAGCGGGACATTGGTCTTGATGCAATGTTCGCGCTACTTGTGTCCCGTTTGTGCCTCTGTGGCATGTGATGGTGTTGTTGCACAACTGACTCGTCCTCTGCCGTCGTCAGATCACGGAATAACGGTCTTGTACTCGGACGTCAGTGCGCTCAAGGAGGACTGGCTAAACGATACGGTAAGTTGCTGTCGAGCAGCAGAACATATGGGGAGGGTTTTGGCGTAGAGATGTTCGCTTTGCTAACGCGCATCGCGTCCGCCTAGAACATCGCATTCTGGGAAGAGTAGGTCTCTAGCAGGCTGTTTGCCCACATCCTACGAATGTCCCGGCGTCGTTTGTCGTTCTGACCCGCTTCCGGCGCAGATATATCGAGCATGAGATCCTCCCCAAATACCCACAGGCCCGCATCGCGCTGGTGCGCCCGACCATAGTAGCTCTGATGGTGCAGTCGGCGCGACTAAGGGACATCGAGTCAGCGCTCCCCGACTTCCGAAACGACACGCACATCTTCATCCCGGTCAACGATTCCGTCAACGCCGGCAAAAGGGCAGACTCGGGCAGCCACTGGTCGCTGCTCCTGGTCTCGAGACTGGACGGCGTCGCGTTCCACTACGACTCGATGAACGACCACAACGAGCCGGCGGCGCGCGCGTGCGTTGACCGCCTCTCCCGCGTGCTGCGCCAACCCTTGCGCTTCTACCGCATCGTTGACATGCCGCAGCAGACAAACTCGAGCGACTGCGGCGTCATAGTCTGCATCCTCATGCGGCACCTGCTGGTCAAGAAGCTGCTGAACGCCAACGCCCGGGAGAAGGTGGGCATGGGCCTCACCGGCAAGCAGATCGACACCATCGGGGGGCGCAAGGAGATGCTGCGGACGATAGAGCAGATGCGCAAGGAGGGCGAGCGCCGCCGCAGCACGGGCACCCTGCCGCTGACGATCCGGTCCGGCAACGAGCCGCCGTACATCGACTAATAGGAGAACTTCGCGGCGACGACGACCCGGCTCGAGGCGCGGGATATGTATCCCCCCACTGCCTCGCAAGCCAGGGCTGGCGGGGGTGAGTATCCTGGCCAGGGATGCACAAGTCCCCGCTGGCCCCTCCCCTCCTGCTACCTTGTCACGATCGCACAAGGGATGTGCCTGCCGGATTCCTACCAGCCGTGGCCGGCATCGGAAGTTTCCTCGTGAGGAGTGATGTTCCCTAATGTGATATAACGGTAATGATGCGCTGATTTAATGTCAGATGTGGGGGATGTCAATGTACATCTGCGCTTTATACACGTGAGCTATTGATTCCTGTCTGCGTTCCATTTCTGTCCCTTTTCGGCGTCTGTCTCCGTTTCTCCATTTCTACAGTTCTAGACGGCCTAAGAACAAAAAGCACGGCGTTCTCACAGTGTGGATGCTTCCATATCGGTCTTTTGAGACCAAGGGGCGTTGAAATTGGATGGGCGTCCAGTTTGACATTTGGTGTTTTTTTCCAGCCCTTCACCTGATACTCCCGTAACTTTGTGATAATAAACAAGGCCTCCGTGGACAGAGCTTATTGAGCAAGGCACGCAATGATACAGAGCGAAGCAAGCTCATGGATCATCATAACGAGCTCCACGAGTATCCCACCTTAGAGCCGAACCGTGCAAACCCGGGAGCGGCTCAGACATCAAGTGCAATGCCTTTCTAAATAATCCCAACACTTGGCTGTGCATCTCTGTTTTGATCTAGGCAGGAGTCTAGTCTATGGGTATCATGAAGCCGGTTACAACTGCCCCTGGGGGCCGCAAGTAAGCCGGCGGCGGCGGCAAGAAATCACACCATCCAAGCATCACTGCTCCTTTGGTAGGAACGCAGGGTTCTGCTCCATGGTGCCGGATATGTGCGCCCTCAGCGCCGCCCACCGGTTCGCAGTCGGCGCCGACGCCGCCGGTGCCGCGACCCCACCACCGCCCGCACCGGCCCCATCCGCCGCCTTCCCGTCCAGGCCGGACAGAAAGGCGAGACTGCGGCCGATGTTCTGCGTCTCGGCGCGCACCAGCTTCTCCTTGCGCTTGAGGGCGCCGGGCCGGTGCCTGATGCTCTTGATGCGCACCTTGCCGGGCTGCTGCTGCTGCCGCTGCTGGGGCCCGGCGGCGTCGTCGTCGAGCTCCGGCAGCGCGGCGGCTAGCGAGTCTAGGTCGGCTACGAGCTTCTTGGATGGGCGGCGGCGCTTGGTCACGCCGCCCGAGGCGCCGCTCTTGGACCGGATCTGACCTAGAAAGGTCGACTTCTTGACCAGGCGGCGGTCGCGCTTGGTGTCGGGGAAGAGGGCGCCAGAGGACGAGGATTTTGGTGGTGCGCGGGCGGCGGATGTGGAGGAGGAGGGGGTTTGGGCCTTTGCGAGCTTGGCGCGCATGGTGGTGCGCTTCTTGGGCGCGGTGGGTGCCTGTGTCCGGGACGGGGGGGGTGTTAGTCTGATATTGGGGTGTGGTGTGGGGGAGGGTGATGCGCTACCATTTTGGAATGTTGAGGGTCCTTGGTTCCTATGGATAGCAAAGGCTAAAGGGCTGAGAGCTCTCTTCACGATTGTCGGGTGCAGGTGGGCTGATGGAGGAGATGTGATGACGGACGAGGCCTAAGAAATTTTGGCGGGGAAGACAAATTCTGCCGCTACCAAGATCCTTGATTCAGGAAACCCTGTGAGACGCCAGGCCTAGTCACTCAACCTAGAGGGCGACTTTCTCACAAACAACCTAGCTACCATTTGATTGGAATCCCTAGATCTCTACCCCTGCCACAAGTCGAACCGGGGCTATATCTCATCTCTATCAAGCCTCGAGTCTGTGTGTCGTCGGCGGCGTGAAAAGTGCTAGAGGAGGCCGCGGACCCATAAATCAACCGGGATCTGCTCAGGATCGAGTGGGGCTGATTCCGTCACAGGTAGAGACCCCTGGCTGACGAGTTCGGTCGCTGTCAGCGCAAGTCGCATCACTCTTCCAGCGCGCCCTTGGCGACTATTGGCACCAGGAGGGTTCGTAGAGGACATGCAAACATGGATCCAGCAGCGAATTCCATGACTGCGACGGATCTACGGGCCCAAATAGCCCACTGTGAGGATCAGCTCGCGGCCTTGAAAGCGCGTCTTGCCGAGGTCGAGAGGGCAGACCGGCAGAGCCTCCAAGTTGGGGACGGCACAGGAGAAACACCGGCAGTTGAAGCGCGGACCGGGCCGGCATGGAAGAGGCCCCTCCAAGAGGCCGAGTACGAGCGCTATGGGAGGCAGTTGATACTGCCCACGGTTGGAATTCAAGGTACTAGAGTACCCCTCTGTCACGGAATGTCATCTTTTATCCCAATGTTGAAATATCCTGGGGCTGATGCCTGTCGCGCTCGTGGCCAGGTCAGCTAAGGATAAAGGCATCTGCCGTCCTCGTCGTTGGAGCCGGCGGGCTCGGCTGCCCCGCCGCGGCGTATCTTGCGGGAGCCGGTGTCGGCACCGTCGGCCTGGTGGACGGTGACGTTGTGGAGGCGTCCAACCTGCACAGGCAGATCGCCCACAGCACCTCCCGCATCGGCATGCACAAGGTCGACAGCGCCATTGCCTATCTGAGGGAGTGAGCAGACCCGCATCTCCGTGCATATCGCAATATTCCGTGCTGACCAAGTCGCCCACAGCCTCAACCCCCTCCCAACGTACAACGCCCACCGCGAGCACCTGACGCCGCAAAACGCCGAGGCCATCATGTCGCGCTACGACCTCGTCCTCGACTGCACCGACCACCCGGCGGCGCGCTACCTCGTCTCGGACGCCTGCGTGCTGCTCGGCAAGCCCCTGGTGTCCGCCTCGGCCCTCCGCACCGACGGCCAGCTGATGGTGCTCAACACCCCTCCCGCGCCGCCGGGCGGCAGCGACACCGGCGGAGGACCCTGCTACCGTTGCGTGTTCCCGCGCCCGCCGCCCGCCGACGCCATACTCAGCTGCGGCGAGGGCGGCATCCTGGGCCCCGTCGTCGGCGTCATGGGCGTGCTGCAGGCCCTCGAGGCCCTGCGCATCCTCGCGGCCGGCCGGCACCTCACCGCCGTGGGGCCGCCTCCCGAGCCCGCGGCGTCGCCAACACTGCTGCTCTTCTCGGCGCCCGCGGCCCCGACCTCGCCCGCGGGCTTCCGCAGCGTGCGCATGCGCGGCCGCAGGAGGGACTGCTTCGCGTGCGGCGGGGCGGACTCGACGCTGTCGCTCGAGGGGCTGCGCGCCGGGGCGCTCGACTACGTGCGGTTTTGCGGTGGCAGGCAGGAGGAGGATGTGCGGCTGCTGCTCGCGCCCGGGGAGCGCGTGTCGGCGACCGAGTACCACGCCTTGTTCGCCGCGGCGGGACAGGACGCGCAGGGACGGGGGGCGGCAAAGAGAAGGGATCATCTGCTGCTCGACGTGCGGGAGCGCGAGCACTTTGAGGTTGCGAGCATCGAGGGCGCCGTCAACGTTCCCTTCTCCAAGACGCAGCAGCAGCAGCCGCGCGCCGAGGCCGGCGGTGGCGGTGGCATGCCTGGCTGGCTGCCCGAGGGCCTGGCTGATGACGCGCCGATATTTGTGGTCTGCCGGGTGGGCAACGACTCGCAGACGGTGGCGCGGCAGCTCAAGGACATGGGCCTCGATCGAGGCGGGGAGCGCTTCATCGGTGACATCGAGGGTGGTATGAGGGCTTGGAAGACAGAGGTGGACAACACGCTGCCGTTCACCTGAGCTGTATGCCAGGTTCCTCGTGAACTTTGGGGGCGATGGAGGAATACCAATTATCTCACTGAGCAAGCCTAATTGCCACTTCTCCTCGCCCGCGTTCACAATATCACGAGGCACCATCAACTAGGTGAAGATTTCTTTTTTTTTGATTCCCGAGATTTCCCGCGGTACTGTACACGCTGGGAGATGGTATTTAGGCTATTTGCAGTGCCTTTTGGGCTCTAATGCGAGTCCCTTGTGAAATGATTCGAGTGTCCCACGTTGACCTAATGATAAAAGAAAAGCAAAAGACCATGAGAATTGGTTGTAAAACTCCGTAGCCCATTCGACCGGTACTGGCTGCCCCAAGATACTCGGGGCACTTAGCCCAAGCTACCTAAAGGCGCGCTCGCAGCCAGGGCATCCATAGCACTAGATCGTGAAGTGCAGCAACCCCGTCCTTTTTGATAAGTGATACTGAGACCGAAGTCACATGCGATGGTGGGCTGTGTTCCAGTGTTGCCACTGGGCAGTAGTGACCTGGTGTGTTATAGTTAGCAAGCTGGGAGCAGGGCATAGAGTTGAAAAGCACCAGAGGTTTCTGGCGTGGCCACATGCTTACAGCGGCGGTCATTGTTTTGCCTTGGAGAAGAAGAACACACATCGAATTACTACGAGATGAATGTGGTCCGCTTCTTCCTGAAGGCCCTCTGGTCCTTGAGCCACTGGCGGTAGCCGGCGACGCTCGAGATCTTCTCGCCGTAGAAGTCGGGAACTAGAGGAGAGGTCAGCAATAGTGGGCTTCTGGGGTCTAGGGGAAGTAAGGGACTCCTGGAACATACCCGGGTTGCTGGCCGATGCGCTAGATGGGTCAACACGATTCTTCTTGACGCGGGCGAAGAACTGAACCTCCTTCTGTAGACGCAGGCAAGTTGGCTCCAGTTAGCACCAATATTGTCAGTGGTAAAGGGGCGAGGGGAGGCGCCCAAGGGTCATGACACAGCCAAGAACCACCATGTCAACTCTCCGCGTCTCCCCGCGACATCCCAGTATGCGTAGCCAGTCCGTACCTTGGTCATCACCTTCTTGATACTGCGTTTGAACATGTAGAAGACGGTGGTGCCGATGATGGGGCCGATCAGCCAGCCGAGCGCGGCGAAGCTGAATGTCATGAGGCCGAGCGTGATGAAGGGGTCCAGCGGCAGCTGCGACACGAGCCCGTCGAGCGTGCCCGTGCTCAGGAACATGGCGCCCGCCGTGCCGCCGCCCAGGCACGCGACCGTGCTAAAGACGAGCTGGAGGCGGCGGCGCTGCTTGCGGAGCGTGAAGAAGGTGTTCCAGTCCATCGCCTTGTCGTCCTCGGGGGCCGCCGCGGTGGAGGTGTTGCTGCTGCTGGTCGTCGTCGAGGCGGCGCGCGCGCGGGACAGGAGCGCGGCGGTCGCCGTGATGTGCGGGGAGGGTGCGGGGGAGCAGGCGCCCAGGCTGGCGGTAGCGAGGGGCGATCGGACGGCGCGCGCGAAGAGCAGGGGACGTGGTGATGCGGCGGCGAGCGTCGAGGCCAGGCGGAGGCCGGCACCGGCGGTGGCCATGCGCGGGGGCGCGGCGCGGAGCATGGTTGCCGTCCTGGAAACGAGCATCGTGTGCGGGGGGGAACGGGGACTCGCCAGTCGGGCTGGAGGGGTGTCTGTGGTGTCGGGTCAGATGCGAAGGGACCTGTGATGATGTGTCGATGCCTTGTGTCGACGGCGACGGCGTGGTTTGTGTGCGCTGGTTCGTGATGGTCCGGCGAGGAGGCCTGCCTGCGACGATATCAATGGAGCTTGGCTCTTGCCTGAGATTCCGCTCAGCGTTTCCACGAGCTGCTGGTGGAGCCCATGGAAATCTTGGCTGTGAAACTCTTTCAGGGCTGTCGGCGCTTTGGCCACTATGGGTCGAGTAGCTCCCAGCTAAGAAGCCATGATCAGCGTAACGTCACCGCATGCCCTAGCGCGGCCCAGCCATCCGTCAGGCTCCGCACTGGGGCTTGCAGGCTTGCGTGCTTGAGGAAGGACCCCTGTCCGGTTTCACGCTCGCGCTGCAGGAACACCCGTCGAAGTGCTGTGGAGGAGGACAGTAGCGCAGCTGGTCACAGTGTCGCGGTGCCGCTGTATGAAAATATGGCCTTGTCTAGGGCCACTACACGCTTGATTGCATATGCTATCTATAATGTATACTCTCCATGACCTCCCTGGCTCGTAACCCTGTGGTATTTACAACTTGGCCTTTTTGCGGTAAACATACAGCGCGTCTCCTTTAGCCAACTCATTCCCCTCACCATCCTCAATCACAGCCGATAGAAACACCTTGCGCCCATCAATCTTGTTAATCCGAGCCCTAGCAAGCACAGTAGCAGAGGTAGGAACGGGCTTGATGAATGTCGTGTTGAGATACGCTGTCATGGCCGGGATCATGGGCCAGACGCCCCTGAGCATGTTGAGGACGAGAATGCTGCCCGTTGCTTCGTCTAGAAGTGTGGCAACGATGCCGCCGTGGGCGGTGCCTGGGAAGCCATTGAGACCGCTGCCGAGGCGGATCAGTAATGTAAGCTCCTCAACGGCGTCTTCTGGTGCTGGCGTTTTGTATATGGACAGGTAGCCCGAGACGTTGTCTTTGTTGTTGAGCGTGTGCGCGAACAGCTCGTCCTCTCCGCTCGGCTTGCGGTAGCGGCTGGGTGGCAGCTCAACGGTCAGGGTTGGATCCGTCAGGAGTTTGGCGCACCAGGGCTCCGAGCTGAAAGATGCGATGGACTCTTCCCTTGTCTGGTCGGTGTTTGTGTGGTATGTCTTTTTTGTCCAGGCCATCGTGGCGGTTGGGCGGCGGGTGTATGAGGGAGGCGATGTGCAACAATGTGAGATGTATCGAGTGGCTGCCGCTGGCTTCCGCAACTGCCTCGGCCTGCCATGAATTCGGGGTAGTGGGGCCTGAGACCACGCGATCCGTCGCCCAGCCCAGGGGAAAGCCGAGGGACAGGGGAGGATCTGTGATCTACCAAGAAAATGAGCGAGATGTCTTGACATGAGGAAGTATTTATAAGGGTAGTGGAATTACACAGTGGCAAGCTCAGAGAATCATTTAAAAAGAGAGAAACACAAACCTGGGCATGGCTTGAGGAGATGCACGGCTCCCACAGCTCTAACTCTAGCTCAAGCTCCACCCCTCCTCAACTGAGCAGCGCGGGCAGGCAGGGGTGTTTACGCCATGTTAAACCGTATCTGCCAGGCGGTCAGGTCCCAGCGGCGCGACCAAAACCCATGCGCGCGTGTTGTCTGTGCTCGCCATGGCACCTTCCTCGTCGGCGAATTCACACCACCAGGCCAAGAATCGAGGTCTTCGCTCCCGCCTCAGCCTCCCCGCGGCAGTGGTCACGATCCGGGACTCGTCGAACGGCTATCACTCTCTTCACCCACTACCGTACCTGCTGCCTGCTGCTACCTGGGGCTCGCATTCACGGCGCGAGGACCGATAGCCTAGCCTTGAAAGCTTCGTTCCCTTCGCTGACAGCCTCAAGAAGAGTGAGCAAGGACACAATGGGTGACGGCCGGCCGACGAAGCGTGCTAAACGCCACGGCGCGACCGGCACCACGCCCAAAGATCCCACCCTCCCAAGCATCACGATTCCAATTCCAATCACGAACCGCCCACCTCCGTCACACTACCCCACCTACGTTCCCGGCTCTGGACCTCCGTCGAGCAAGATCCGTCTGCAGCCCGAGACAGACGACACTACGAGCTACATCATCGACAAGCTCGTGCTTCCCGCCGGCCCTCTTCCCGACTCCAAGGCTCAGCGCCGCTACTATTACCTCGTTGGCTGGACTGATATACCGGCCGCGCGTGTCGCGATTGACTGTTCGAAGGCCCAGGAATACCTTACACCCAGGTGCATCGAGGACTGGGAGTTCGAGGACTGTCTTAGGCGCGAGCGTGAGCAGCAGGAGGCGGCATTCGAGGCTATCAAAAATGCGCCCGTTCGGAAGAAGGCGGGCCGCCCACTCAAGAATCGCATCCTGGCCGACGCCGACGAGGTTCAGGCCGAAGAGCAGGCCCTGCGGTCCAGCCAGCCCTCCCTCAGCGGACCTTCGCTGTCCACGCCGCAAAAGACCCGCGCGACGGGCCTTATTCCAGGCGACGTCGAAAGCGAGGAGCATGACAACCTAAACATCGATCTCGACTCAGATGGCGAGCCTATCGAGTTTTACGATGCAGAGGACATGGCCGCTGAGGATAGTATGGATATCGACGAAGTCGAGGACGAAGATGATGATGACATGCTTCAGAAAGTTCTTCTAGAGCAAGCTCGGAGGAATGCTCGGGCTGAGGAGCTGGACGACGATTACGACGAGCTAGCGGCTGGAAGGACCATTGTCCGGCTCGACGACGCGCCTGTGAGCCAGTATCTCCCAGGGCGGATCGCCAAGTCCAAGCTTGCCAACGCATATGCGCCCTTGTCAAACCCTGCGAGCGTGGCACCATCTCTGCCGGCTAACGCTGCCTCTACTAAGAAGAAGGGTAGTGGAACAGACCGAGGCCCCGGCAGGTGGCCCAAGGGAACCAAGGCTAGCGACTACGGCGGCACTGGCGTTCCCAGTCTGGCTCGCCCAGAGGTCGCTGCGCGCGTCGGAGCTCGCCAGCGGCGTGAGCCGGCCGTTGCGTCCTCCTCCTCATCAGCCGCTGTCCTGCCGCCGATGTGGTATGTCTCTAATGATGACGACGACGACGACGCGCACTCAGCCGCTGCTCCAGAGCGGTCACCCTCGCCGGAGTACACTGGCAAAGGCAAGCAAGCCATTTACACCTTCAAAGGAAAGGAGCCCGTCTACACCTTCATGGGAAAGGAGCCCGTCTACGTGGCCAAGGGCAAGGAACCTATCCATACAGACAAGAGCAAGGAACCTGTCCATCCAGACAAGGGCCAGGAACCCGTCTATTCGGACAAGGCCAAAGGCAAAGAGTCTGTTTGGCCTATCTTCCAGACCCAAGTCCAGCGCCCCAGATCCGTTTCCACTGCGCCTTTCGGCACCAAAAATGACACGTCGAACAACGCCGAGGGTGGTACTGATTCTGTTGTCGCTTTTCAGGCGACTGAGGCTACCCCCGCCCAAACCGTCGACGGACAGCCCCTGTATGAGGTCGAGCAGCTTGAGGGAGTCAAGATCGAGATAATTGACGGAGCCGCCGTGTACTTCTTCCTGGTTCGTTGGAAAGGCGACTGGTCTGACGACATCAACCCATCCTGGGAGCCACAGGAGAACTTGGATTCGCGCCTGGTCAGGCGATTCCTCAAGGCACATAAGAAGGCTGCGCAGGAAGAGTCGGCCAGGATGATGATGCCGCCGCCGCCGCCGCCCCGCATCACCGCGGCCAAGCCTATGAAGCCAGCTAACCGCCAGGTCGCTGAACCAGACATCATCCCCGTCCTTGACGAGGCCGGCAATGGCGCCACAGCTCCCAACATCGCGTCTAGGAGTATCATTTCGCAGACCAGTCGCCTTACGCACCCTGTAATCAAGCCTCCTCAAACTCCGTCCCAGCGACGGGCTACCGGTTCAAGCTCTTTTACGATCGCAAGCCCATCCGCCCAAGACGACGAGGAAGATTTTGACATGGAGGACGCCGACGGCGATAAGGACGAAGCCAAGGAGCTGCGCCGTATGGGTTTGGCTAACGGGTGCGCTTACTGTCCTTCCACGACCCCCTTTCCTAAACCACTACATCCATCTTTTCAGCCGCTAATTCGGATGATTCTATTTTCAGCTCCTATCAGCCCCCGATGGGAGTCCACCTTCCGAAGCCTGTTCTCCCCAAGAGTGTCCGCGATTCGCTCCCTCGCGCGCTTCCGCGTTCTTCGCGAAAGTAAAGCAAGCATGGCAACCGTCTGCGCTGCACTGCAGTGCCCAAGGGGCTGCTCCCCAATGCTTTGCTCCTCCAGTCGGGCTGGATCGAGGTGATCCAACTTTTGATCCCCAAGGGCGTTTCTTTTTTTGTTATTTATTTTGTCCAGAAAAGCCTCCCATGTCGTATAAGCAAGCTGCTTCTATGCCCAGCAGCCACGCATATCTCTTGTCTGTGTAGTCATTGCCCTCGAGATGGTCACTGCCCATTCTACCAGGGCACACCACATACCCGTACGCATCGTGAGGCGGACATGCCTGCTTTCTCAAGGGCTTCTCTTTACCATGTTTTGTCCTGTAGTTTTAGCGAGCATAGCATGGCGTTTTGGGGAGGCCTCCCTGGTGGTGTTTTCTTTTCGGGAGGCGTCCATGAGGACATTGTCCTCTATTTATGGGACCAGGGGGGGTTTTGCGTCTGGGTGGGACCCAGACGCCTACGTTTTCGGACTGGCTTCGGGCAGCTTTCCTTGTAGAGATAGAAGACTGGTAACAGTCGCTGTTAATATAAACATAAAATGTAACAAAAGCCACCAGGCTCTACGTGCATGCCATTAACTCGGTTTGTAACACTGCTTGTTTGCTGATTGGAATGCTTCTCTGCCCACAGCTCTGCCCTTTTTCGCGTCGCAGCGATGTCGACAAGAGCCTACCTGATCGATGGCTTGGTCAATCACGGTCGTCCAACGGCCAATCCATTGGCCAGCCGCTTACCTCGATTCAACCCGATGACATGAGATTTTAAACCCCGGGCACGTTCAGGTCCCGCACAATGAAGCCGAACTGGGCCCGCGTCTAGTCCGCGATTCCGCCGTAGCTCGTCTCGAACGTCAAGCGTATGGCCCCGGCCAAGCCCACGATGTAGCAGGGTGGGACCGGGAAGGGAAGGTCTGTCGCCGGCAGCCGAAGCCTCGACGCAGTGCTTGCGCGCCTGGTCCGCGACGGCGGCAGATAAGTAAGGCAGCATCGAGGTCATGTGAGCGAAAAGGATTGCCACTACTTCCAGATCAAACAGCGACACTATCACCTGCGGTGCCCTCGGGTCCTCACGCGTGTAGCCGCCGACCAGCTTGGCCAGCGAGGAGGGGAAGGCGCCCTTGGCCTTATTGCTGGTCCCCGTTCTGGGATGTCTCGAAGATTCTGGGTAGGCCGAGCGGCTTCGCCTGGTTGATAGTGGTGGCAAAGGTAGCCATGGGGTCGACCATGAAGCTTCCTGTCGGCGACTGGTCCTCAATCAGCTCACGCGGGATGGCGAGCGCCTTGGGCAGCGCGGCCTCAGGCACCTTGGAGCTTCAGTCGCGAGCTGTGACATGAAGGGCCGCCCACGGCGCTTGTGAGGTCCTCTTGCGGAAGCCATTCCGTTCATCATCCAAGGATCCGTTTGCTACGCGGGATGATAATACCCCGTCGTACAACACGGTGCCCGCTGCGTTTTCTAAGAAAATTGGTTGCAGATGGTGTGTTTCCACGTCTCCCTGGGAATATCCGTGTCGACCGCGGCCCAGATTATGGATACCCAGTTAGCCTAGGCGCGGGAAGGTGATGGCCACGCGCTCCGACAAAGGGAGAATAGATCTGACTATATTATCTTAGCATTGGGGAATAGGGTTGGCCCCGCATCCGCCTCCCGCCACTGGAGTGTTTTCTGATTTCTCTCCCTCTTCTATTTCTTCTTTTCTTTTTTTCCTCATTTCCCCACCCCCCGTCGTTCGTATGCTCGTCCACAACCCCCTGCTTCTCACTCATCTTCTCCTTCCTCCTCGGCTTTTGCTGGCTCGAGCTCTCGTTATTCGTATCCTCAGCCCTGCGATGCTTGCTGCTGTCGGAACGCTTGGGGTAGCAGCAGGCTCTTTTAGGCCACTCAGCTCGTACAACTCAGCGCGGCCCGGTCTGGCGGGCTTAAAATGCTGTACGTCACATAAAATGCCAATGGATGCACAGTGTTAATGCTCCCAGGTCTCCTTCCAGACGAACACACCCTCCTCATACAGACCTGTTATAATCCCCAGGCCTTTGTCGACATCCCTGACAGCGGTGCTGCTCGATCCGAACCCGTCGTGTGCGACGTACATGTGCCTCAGCCCTGCTTCCTCCGTCCACTCGCTGACCCAGCTGGGCGCAGTGATTTTCCTGCCGCTGCAGCCGGCGGCTTCGGCGTCCCCTGATCCGTGCAGAGCGTCCATGCAGACGCGGCGCGCTTCCTTCACCTTTCCCAGGGCGCCCGGGTGCGGGTGGCCTGCAATAAGGAGCACGCCGCGCTTGTCAACGGAGATGTTATCGGGGAAGAAGGGCACCGGCACCTTGCCAAGCAAGCGGAGTATTTCCGGACTGCTGCTGCCATCAGCAAGCTTGGGACCGATCTCGTACAGGTAGACGGCGAGATGGCTCGTGGCGGCCACGGCCAACGTGGTACTGTTCAAGAGGGCCATGCCGTTGGGAAATGGGAGCCTGGCAACCTTGTGGGCCTCAAGCACGGGATCTGCCTGGGAGGTCGGCTCCAGAGCTTGGTCGTCCAGCTTGAGATAGATGACGCAGGCGAGCGGAGGGGCCAGGTATGTCTCCAGAGAGGACAGCCAGGGATGGGCTCCCACGGGGAAGAGGTGGTCGTTGGTGACATACAGCTCGTTCTTCGACACGACGGCTATCGAGTTGGGCGAGCTGAGCAAGGGGTGCGTGATCGTTCGGATGTGTCTAGCGACTGGCTGAGTGGCATCTAGGTCGAGCCCGAAGATCTCGAGGCGCGAGCCGTGTCTGTGATGGTTGGCCACAAAAAGCCTGTTGCTCGGAGCGTGGTACTCGATCCCGAGAGGGTGGAAATCGCCCTCGCTTTCCTCCCCACCATATCCGACCAGCTGGATCTTCTGCAGGGCATCGTGCTCGCCGGCGTCCTCGTATCGATACAAGAACAACTCCCCGTTGGGCACTAGGTCACGCTTCTCGGCAAAGGCGCCCATGACTGTGTTCCAGCCGTCCCTGCCCCTATCACAGCTCAGGATGGCGGCGTGGGCGTGGGCGTGCTCGAGCAGGACCGCGTCCTCGCAATTGCGGACCTCGTGTTGCAGCCTCACGCTGCCGTTCCCGAAGGCGGCGACAGACGGCAGGCCGCTGTACGGCGGCCCGTGGTTGACCATTGCGGCCAGAGCTGACCGCCTTGTCCAGACATACTGCAGGACGAGCCCTAGTAGAAGGGCGAGCTGACGCGATGCTTGTTTGAGCTGGATAGCGTTCGAAGAGATGGATGACTGGGACACTTACGATGCTGGCCCTGCCGGCCATTTTGATGTCGATGGCTGGTGGGAGATGGCGGCGGGAACAAACAGGACGGTGGGGGCAGCGAAGGTTTGGGCCTCAGCTAAGCGGAGAAAAAAAAGCCAAATAGGATTTTCTCAAGCGAGCCACCGGAGGGCAGACGCTTAATATGGATGAGGATGGCAATGTTGTGGACGTTCGCTAAAGAAGCGTTGGGTAAGGTTGCTGAGGATGCATGGTTTTTTGCTCCTGGGCGTCGTTCGCACGGGCTAAGTTGGGCCCTAAATAGCGTTAGGCGGACGCACATTCACTCCACTCCATTGCATCAATGCTGGTCACGTCCACTCAATATCAATGAGATCAATGACAGTAGCCATGGCGATTACTGAACACGCTGCCATCCGTAAGAATCTGAGCCAAGGCGGCTTCCCGGCACCTGCTCGTACCAGAACCGACAGTCATTGGTGGCGCCCCTGCCCGACATGGCGGCGCAGCTACTCTTGCTCCGCCTGGAGCGAAGCCAGATCAATCTCGGCTTCCCGCCGGCGGCAGATCAGCTTGGCCTCGTGGTTTATCATCGGATCCGTGCCCAAGTAGATGGGCTCTAGCGTCGTGCCCGGCGCGAGCTTCCAGTCGTAGTTCATGATCATGAAGCAGAGTATCATCTTGATCTCGTTGGCGGCGAAAAAGCGGCCGGGGCACATGTACTTGCCGTAGCCAAACGTGATATGATCCGACGCGCTGGAAACGAGCTGGGCCCGGTGCTCGCCGCCGGGCTCGTTCTGGCGGATGTCAAGGAACCGGCGAATGTTGAACTTTTCCGGGTTTTTGTATCTTTCGGCGTCCCAGAGGTTCGTAGCGTCCACAGCGACAAGCTCGCCCTTAGATAGTAGGGTCCCATCTTCCAACGTGACGTCTTCCATCACAGATCGGATCATGTTTGCTACATTTGGTTTATTTCAGTTAGCATCCATGCCATTTGCGTGTTAAACCGTCATCTCGTTGATGAGAGGCGAGCCCACGACAAAAAGTACAACAAGTGCTGGCGGGCGGGCGAGAGGAAGAGAGGGTGAGGAAGAAAGAGTGAGGAAGAGTGACAATGAGGTAGGGGCTTACCCAAGAACAAGGGCTTGGTCCTTTGCGCCTCCCTCACGGCGCTATCGAGAAGCTTCAGCTGAAACAAAGACGTTTTCTTCCACCCCCTGACCGGCAGAACATCGATCATTTCCTGCCGAAGGGCCTCGATGCTTTCCGGCTCCGAAGCCAAATGCAACATCGTTTGGGTGACCAGATCCGAAGTTGTGTGGATGGCAGCGAACGAGAGTAAAAGCTGCAGGTCTGTCGGGTTAAAGGCGGCGCCGTCGGCCTCCTGCTCGCCCCACTCGATAGAGTCGTTGTACACCGGCACCGGCCGGCCGCTGGCCAGACACTCCTTTCGCTCCTTTGCGCGCTGCTGGACGAGTCCGTCGACGATTACCTTGGCCTGAAAGTAGCGCGAGCGCATCTCCCTAACTGTAGGATCGATCAGGTGCGCGAAAGGCCGGAGAAGTTTCGGGAATACTCGAATGCCTGACATGCCCATCATCAGGTGCGAGGCAAAATTCTTTGTGATGTCCAGCCATTCGAGGTTGCGGCAGAGGCCGGGCCCGAGGAAGATGCGTGAGGAGACTCGGGCGACAACATCGAGCAAGCCCGGGTAGATTGTCACCTCAGCCCAATCTTTAGCTCCGGCAGTTAGTGGCCGCTGGGGCTCATCACGGTGAGGGCAAGTTCGAAGTCAAGATATCCTACCGTTATTCTCCCCAAAAACCTTCGACATCGCAAATTTCGTTTCCTGGGCGAGAGGGCTTGTGACGGTGGCTAAGGGACGAGTTGGATGCAGCTTGCGTTAACATCAATCTGGCCGTGCACGGCCTGCGGCAGGAACTTTTCCATACTTACCAAGCCGCTTCGTTAACCGCTTCGTTACCACTGCCTGAACAATTCCTCGCGGGTGGTTTAACATGGTTAAAGCACCAAAGCCGGCTATGTCGATGGGGCATATCTGAGGAAATTTTCACATGGGGGAGTTAGCCTGGGAGTTGACGTCGTATTTACCACCCCTGGGAATGGTTGGTCTTATAACGATATTAGGCTTATTGCTTACATCGCTAAATTGTGCCCTGAAGTTGAGCTTTTCCGGCGGTATGCTCTTCACCTCATTCGCCCGATCGCTGGGAAGGATAGTGAATGTGCCGGCGCTGGCAATGACCTTGAACGGCTGTCCGGGATATTGTCGCTTTGCATCGTTGAATATCTTGAGCCCATTTTTCAGGTAGTTCCTCTTCACCTGGGTCTTGGTTTGGAAGAAGCCGGGAGGGTTCATCAAGGGGGCGCGCTTGCCCTTCTTTGCTCGGAAGAGGACGCTCGCGGCAACAGGCACGAGCAGCACGAGGAGCAGGGCCACGATGACGGGGGAGTTGTCGAGCTCGAGGGCGGCCAGGCGGCCCAGCAGTGGGGAGTGGAGCTGGGGCTGCGCACCTACTCCATCAGCAACGATGGAGCTAGACATGGCGAGCACGGTGCGGCGTGCTGTAGAGGAATTTGGGCTTGTTGGGGAGTTGGCTTGTGATAATAGGGCTGCGGTGTGACGAGGCTTTATGTATGGTTCGCGGAGGGAAGAGATGATGACGGAACGACTGCAGTTTGAGGTGCTGGAGCGGCGCTGCAGACAGAATTTTACCCACGACTGAGGACGGATGGAGTCGATCTAGATATATGCCCCCGGACGCCCTCCCATTTCTCGGACGCGGGGCGAGCCGTTTGGCCAGCATGGCGTGTGTCTTTTGTGAGAGTAATATCAGGGCCTTGGGGACTATACAGGCTATTCCCGCGCGCAATTTGGTATTATAACCGAGAACAAGCTTATCTCATCCAATCTTATTGGTTGTGTAGCCCATGTGCCCAGGTGCGCAGTACTGCGGGTGGTCCGCATAAGTGGCCACACTCTCCACACATCCAAAAGGCACATCAAAAGCGAAAACAGAGCCTTCCGTTCCGACTGGCCTTTTACCCGGCCTGCCGAGCTTGCCGTGTTCCCTTGGCGTGGGTTTGAATCTCAAACAGGATCCACACACCCAGTGGTCGTCCATCTGGTGGTGTAGTCAATTACATATCTTGACATCATAAGTCGGAATCGTGTCTCCTCGGACCCATCATCCTGCAGCCGCCGACGGGACGGGGGCATCGGACCCACAGCAAACTCAGGCCTACGGCTGCCCACCACCGCCAACCATAGCCATGACTGTGGCCCAAGATTCAGCCCGGACAAGGACATTCCCCCCAGCCGGGCAAGATCATCCTCTCAACGGCGCGCGAATATCGGTCTCGGTGGGCAACCTGCCAAGCAGAACCCCGCGCCCATCTTCTTGGCCTCGCGCTCCAAACCATGATGTGCGGCGCTGTTCAGTGCTACTCTCTTATCGTCGGGCCGATGCGCATCTCCACAAGCTGGTTTACGCTTAATGACCGCACCCCCGCGTGCAGCCAGCTCTGGGCCTCCACTCGCCTGAGAGTCAAAGCCGGGCAGGTGGCAAGGGGCCGAAACTGCCGTCGTACCAGGCCCAGGCCCAGGCCGAAAGGCTGTGTGAGCAGGCTGAGAAGGAGCTTGAAGAACATGCAGGACAGAAGCAGTGAAGGTGTTGCTAGTGATTATGTTCTTGGGTTTGCCGTCGTTTTGGGTAATTATTTATCATATAAAGGTAATTATGGTCCTACTGCCCCAAAAATCACAAGCACACTTCCGTATTTGCTTAGTTCTGGCCACCACTCGCAAAGCGGACAGATATGTAGCCAAGGCGATCTCTAGCCACGGGCTTTAGATTTTAAAGCAATAATTTCATTCGACTGCAATACTATGGGAGCGCACGTTTCGTGAGCCTCCAAATGGCCCAAACGCACCAACTGTTGAGTTTCCTATTCTAGCTGACGCAAGTTTCAGCGATATCGGAAGTATTTCCCCAGTTGTCTGCTTCATCGACATAGTGATAAGACGACGGCTATAAGCACCCTGTCTGTGGTAGAAGATTTTACGCGATGATGATTGCCTTTTCTAGGTACCAAAAATACCCCTCCGTCTTTCACGCCAGGCTTCAGGTAGGTGTTTATAATTGTATCACCCTACCCTTACCCCACTAGATACAAATGAGAAGCCCTTACTCTCGCCACACTAATTGTACACAACAGTTATCGCCGGATTGTCATCATCTATTTACAGCTGTTCGAAGGTGTGGCAGAGCGGCCCTTTCTCCCACCCAATCTTGTGTTTGATCACATAATCGTGTACGACCTCCTGCAATTACGCAGACGGAGGACTTCCTCCTTGTCGCGCAGAAAGTTCTTCGCGTATGTGGCGCTGTAGCAGAATGCTTTAGTAGCAAGACTTTTTCAGCGGTGATAGGAGGGAGCGGCGCTGCCCATCTGGACCAAGGCTCGAATGCCAGGGTGTAGGACACATCAAGCTTATTGGATACCAGATCCTTCTTTTTCTCATTTAGTTTCTGTTCAGGCAGAAGGGATAGGCACGGTGTGAGGCTATTCCGGTTGGTTTGCTCTAAGGAGGAAAGGATCTAAAGTGCAGGGCCCCTTAGGGACCTCTGCCCTTTATATACACATGACTCACCTGTCCTCCTTGCTTACTAAGCTTCCCTCCTGATGCCTAGAAGCGTCATATGCTCCTAGGCAGAGGGACCGCTCTTCCGATGCCTCAGGCAGCTGATATCTACGCCTGAGGCCTCCTCCACAGTGTGCACTGTCTCCTTTGTGACAGTTTCGTATTGAAAGATTCGTTTATACTTATTAGCAAGTCTTAACTAATAGGGTAGCCGCACAGCACTGCGCCGCATCGACGTAAAGATGGCTCCTGCATGGAATTTGCGTGGCGCAGTTCAATAAGACCTCTTGGCCTCTGGGGCCGACTGAGCTTGGTCCATCTGACATCTGAGATTGGAGATGAGAAAAACGGGGCAGGCGCGCTTGGCAGGCACATCAAGTGCAGATTCCTTCATTCTTCTTGTATCCGTGCCTTTGATCGTCGTCCTGTTAAGGCTTCGGCTATCTATTGGCGGGAATGGGGCAGTGACCCGGACCGAGGCCCAGGGGACCCAAGGCGTGATGCTAACGGGAGGCCTCAATCCACCATGGCCAGAGGAATTATAGTGTGGGGGCGGGCCTACCCGCTTTCGCCGCCCCCCTAGTCTTTGTGAGTTGCCTACTTCGGCCATGCCGCACCTTTGTCGGTGGATATTCCTATCCCCGTGCAATGCTCAGCCTACGCCGTATTGACAGCGACACGTCTTTGACGCGCGGACGTTCTGGCCTTGCATAGGCTAATGGTGGCGGCGCAGAGACCTTGTAGCTGGCCTTACGGAAGTGGACGCCTGCAGGGCCACCAGCACAGGTTGACGACGGAGACTAATGTCACCGAAGGGTCTAGACTTGGAGTCTACGGGCATGGGCAGAATCCTCCTCCAAGGCAAGACTGACGATGTTCGAGCCAGCGGGGCGGTCGAGTCCTGAAGGTGAGAGGACAGGATCACAGCTTCTTGTTCCGGTCTTGGAGGATGATATCCGGCTATAAAACCACGTCCCCCAAGCCCGTTTACCACCAATGTCTTTCCCTCTTCATCGGCATCAGCATCTTCTCCCTCTACCACAAGCACCACAGAAGCCACAAGCCCTGACAAGCCTCGACAGCTCCAACCGACAAGATGCTCTTCCCGACCGCACTCCTCGTCTCCTCCCTCACCCTCGCCACGGCCTTCAAGGTGCCCGAGGGCCAGGCCAACGGCGTCTACCGCGCCTACTACAACGCCGAGGGCAAGGAGGTGCACGAGCCCCTCACGGCCGACATGCTCGTCATGTCGGAGCCCGAGGGCGAGACGACCATCCTGCAGGCCCCCACCGTGGCGCCCGTGACGCCGCGCCAGGCCGGCAACCCGCTCCTGTCCAAGCGCCGCGACAACATCTACTGCGGCTGCGGCTTCACCCTCAACCCGGGCGACTGCGACGCCGTCGTGGACAACCTCAAGGCGCAGCTCGGCGGGCACACGTGGATCTCGCCGCGCATGTCGTACTACTCCATCATGGACCGCTCCGTCGTCGCCTTCGTCTGCAACCTGTCGGGCCGGTCCACCCTCGGCATCTCGGCCAACGCCTACGCCGACTGGCTGGGCGTCATCACGGACGAGTGCGGCAGGTACATTGCCGGCTCCGAGGGCACCCCCGGGTCCTCCGCCCTGGGATACATGCGGGTCACTGGCGACTTCTGCGGCGACGCCCTGTCCTCGCCCTCCCACCACTGCTGAGGTGGCCTGCTTTTGGCCTCTCCCCTTCCACTAGCATGAGGCCGATCTCTGGTGGTGCTGCTCCACCAGCCTTGGGTGCAGATGCTGCGAGTTCTGTCCTGCAGTGACATACAGGTGGCATTGTGCGAGAGTCGGCAGGGTTTCTGGGTATCGAGACCAAACGGTTCTTGTGTGACCTCTCCCAGTAAACTCCAGTTTCGGGTGGTCGAGAGGGAGGAGGACGACGCAACCTGATATGCCTGATAGCAAATAAATCCGAAAACCACTCGTGGTTACGAGACATGAAATGATCATTTGCTTGCTTGTGCCCCTTCACCTAACAGTGTACAATGCTCTGGTATGCTGAGAGCTGCAGGACTGGTGGGCTGCGCGGTCGAGGGCACGATTGAGTCTGCGGTCGAGACGAAGATTTGAGAGAGCGAAGATGCGATAGGTGTAGACGGACGAATAAAGGGACCCGTTTGGGAGAGGCTGGGGCGACGGAGATAGTGTGGTATGGCGGGTGGGCGATGATTGGGGGTCGAGCAGACCGAACGAAAGCCATCATGGGAAGCGTCTCGAAGACTCCTCAATCAGTCTTGGTATCGAGGGCTGTCCATGTCAGGTCTCAGAAAGGACCAATCAAACCAAGTCCAGCGCAATAGGAGGAGTTTTCCCAATGGGTTCCAATTGGGTCACATGACTGACTGCGAAAACGTCATTTGTCGCCGCCATCAGGAAGGAGCTGCCATGGGGATTGATAGCTCGTCTCCATGCCCGACGGTGAACGCGCCACGGTGGCGTCTCTGGAACTGAGCCAATCGAGGCCGATAGCACCAGTAGCCTGGATCTCCAATATATTAGCAATAAGAGACCCGAGTAATTCCCTACTCGATGCAGGCAGAGCATGTTCGGTACCAGCTCCCATTTTTCTCATCCACTGGGGAGGCTCAGGCGGGTTACATGTCCATCGTAAACTTCGCGACCCTTGACGAGCCATGCGGCAGCTATAAATAGGAATGCCCTCCGCCCGACGGACGTCGTAAAGGCTCAGCCACGGTTCGACCATAGGAATGACGGGCAGGGTGGGAAATATTGGCGTGTCTCCGCGCCAAGCCGCCGCATCGGGTAACGGACTGGGCGACGTTGTGGTCTTTTCGTAGCGAGGCAATCTACGCCTCCAAATTGTTCCTGCCGCGGCTAATATCGCAACCAGGGTCGACGCCGGACTGGATGGAGCTTCAGCTCCCAAGAATCTGTCGTCTGGGCCGTTTTGAACCGAGCAGCCGGTTTTGGTCACGTCGTGTTCTTTTTTTGGGAACATCTCACTGTCGTCATAAATGGCTTGCCGATGCCGCCTTCGAAATGATGTCTCCTGGGTGACTTCCTGCCTAGCAGCTTGCCTCTTGCTGGTACCACTGGGAGCAGACGCCGAGCCCGACATTGTCCACCATATCCTTAACTGCATCTCCTTGAGTGTCCTCACCTTGCTGGTGTTGGTCTACCCGTTGCGCTTCACAATGGGCTCCTTTTCCAAGTTCGCCTGCCTCCTGGCAGTGGCGGCAGCCGGCGCAGCTCAGGGCCTCGTCGACCAGAGCACCGCTGCTCCCGCCACGTCTATCGAGCCCATCTCGCCGACAGAGCTCCCCACAAGCGTCCTCGAGCCCATAGGCATTTCGTCTTCCGCTAGCTCATCGACCGGCACATCGATCACCCCCACGGCGACGTCCACCCCCGCGCCGCACACGCCCAGCGCCAACATCACGTCCATCAGCTTCTCGGGCAACGGGTGTCCGCAGGGGACGCACATGCAGGTCACGGGCGACCTGATCTCGGGCCTGCAGTTCACGGTGCCCAACTTCACCGTGGCCAGCCGCTCCGACTTTGACCCGCGGAAGCGGACCGCCAACTGCCAGGCGCACCTGAACATCGGCGTCGGCGAGAAGGGGTGGCAGATCAGCCCGGACCTGATTGGCTACCGCGGCTTCTCGGTGCTGGACAGCAGCGGCACCCGTGTCGACTTTTACGTTACCAGCTATTGGAGCCACGACGCCGCTGTTACCGTGAGCCACTTTAGTCACTCCTCCAGTATTGAGTGGCCGTTCCCCTTGCTGACTGCTGACTACATGTCGTCGGTTACTCAGGAATCTACCAAGACCACCATTTCCAACCCCGATGGGAGGCGGCTTGCCAAGTTCGTCGACACGGCTGTCCGGCACGAGCTCTGGTCGGCGTGCGCCGGCAAGAATGGCGGCTCGGTGGGCCTTCTGAACATTAACTTCCGTGCAAGCGTCGTGAGCACCGACACCGCTGCCCTGGCGTACTTCGGTCCGCTCGAGGTGCTGGGCCGCCCGGAGGCTGAGGTCTCCCAGACCATCACATACAAATTGCGCCAGTGCCAGTCATAAGAAGCACCTGAAGAGGGCAAGTCACGCTGGCGATCTGGACTGTAACGGTGTGCTGCGGCTTGGAGACGTTGGAAAAGGTGGCACCAATAGGTTTGCGATAAAAAGTCATTGTGGGGAGTCCTCCCCTACCTATATCGACAAAAAGAAACCAGCAAACACAAGATGCTGTTTTTTCCTTGACGTCTCGATCGTCACCCATCAGCGCGAGGCGCAAGTGCCTGTTGAAACCTGATCGGCGCCAGTCGCCTTGGCGATCCATGTTCCAGCCACGGCGAGAACTGTCCTTGCGCCGGCTGCTCCTGCGAGGATGGCCATGGGAATCAGCCTTGCAGTCCTTACTCCGGTGGTCATGCTTTTGGCTCCAGTATAGAGGGTACATAAGTGATCTAAGTGGCCTATCCGAAAGGCCGGTTTGACGGTCCGATGCAAATTCTACAAGCTCCCAATGTCCACGGGGTTGTGTCCTCGTCCTCATTCATCATCGCCCTTGCGATCACTCTGCCCTCCTCGCAGTCTTCATCCTTGTAAATGCTCAGTCCGTAAGTCCTAAGAAACTCGAATTCGCTTCCCCATTCCCGCTTCAGCCAAGCCCTCTCCTCTGCCGTGTACGGCGCCAACGGCGCGTCTTCAGCCTTGTCTTTTCACTTGCCGGAATCCGACGCCTCCTGGTTGCTACCAGAACCCGAACCCAAGCGACCAGTCTGTGCTGCCGCCCACCTCTGGCGCTCCGAGTCAGGCCAGAAGACGCTGAGCATATAGGCCACACCTGGCTCAAGCGTTGAAGGGCCAACGACGGGGCCGATAGGAGGGCCGCTAAGCTGAAGAACCAAGGGGGAGGGGCCGAGAAAACACCCGAGCCGTCGGTCATCCTGCGTGCTGATCACCGTCTCGTCGTAGCTCCAGCTGGTCCTGTCATAGTCGCCTGTAAATCCGTCGCCGACGACGTTGCAGATGATTGTAGGCGCGTGGAGCACGTTCCGCAGATGAAGCGTGCCGTGGGATTCGGGGCCGGAACGCTTCGGGAACAGTTTGACTGGGAGGTGGACGTCGCCGATGCCAACAACTTGCAGGCTGCCGTTCAGGATGGTCTGGAACGGCGTGTACGTGGAGAACCAAGCACGGTCGCGTGCGACACTGGAAGAAAGGGTGAGCGTCAGCTTCCTCAAGTCCTAGCAAATCCAACCCACGATTGTTGTTTGATCTTCGCTGCGAATAGGAACCTACTGCACGTTGGAGTCGGTCAGCGCCCAATCTGGGCAGAGCCCTGGTGTTTCGTTCGGATTTGCCATGCCAGGTGCTTGATCCAAATTCGATGGTGCGATTTTGTCGTGAGGGTTCGAGAGTTAAAAGCAGCCCAGCATGAAGTGACAAACCCAAGTTGGTGTCGTTGTGTTTGGCCGCAAGGTGCTTTTCAGGCTTGAGAGGGGTGATCCCAAGAGTAAAGCCCCGTTAGTGGTCGATCTTTCCTCAGGAGATGCTTGAGGAGTCAGAATCTCCGGGCTGAGTTGTGCCTTCCCGAGGTGGCTCGCACCGCGATGCCAGAAGAGGAGGTACGGTGTTCGATTCTAGTATCGGCAGGTGCAAACAACCGGGCTGTTTGTTGACCAGGTCGACCTACCTACCTGTGCATCGGGTGCGCCTTCCAGACGTGCGTGGATAACCTGCAGCCGCGATCCCGAGGAAGGGCACCCCACGTCAATGCGACGATCAACATTCGTCCATGCCTGCCGCACTCTCTGCCGCCCTTTCAGCGCTGTCTCTAGGAAAGCAATAGATAGATACCACGGGTGGTTCGTACCAAATTTGATGCCCGGCCACTCCTTCCCTACTGTAGGACTGATAGGTTTCCGAGGTTGCCTGACTCTATCTCACGAAGCCTACGGAAGCTGGGCGCTCCTTCTGTGCGGGCGATCGCCCCCAATTGTGGGCTGGTGAGGCCAGACCCAATCAATGTTGCGTTGCGTCTGGATGCAAACCAGAAATTGAGGCTCTGTGCTAGCCTGCAGATTCTACAGCCGCTGTAGCGCGAGGACTCAATCGGTGCTCTTGTCAGCCTCTTTAGCGGGATAATTCCATGCGGGTTAAAATGGACCCCTCTTTTGCCGTCGACTAGTTAGCGCCCGCCTTTCCGTGGTTCCGTCCATGCGTCGCCCACTCTTCTATTCATCCATCTAGCTGCCACATGTTTCCGTCTCTTTTTGTGTCCAGGGGCAGAGCGATCTCCTTCAAGCAGTGCGATATCTGGACTCTCGCTCACGGCCATGAGGCCTTCCGACTACTCATTGTCCTTTCTCGACGAGATTGGACCGTCCCCCTCCGACCAAACGGTCGAGGAGACCTGGCGAGATCGCGTTTTCCCACTTCTCAGCCCCGGCACCTTTGAGGCTAACTGGCAAGCAGTCCCCGATCCTTGTGGTTGGTTTTTGGACTCTTCCGGGTCCCGATGTCGCGTCGACCCCAAGCCGCATCATGTGGCGAATTGCCAGGTCGACCTTCAAGCACACGATGGCACGTCGTACCCAGCCACCATTTCGTATGAAGCCGTCGTTTTCGCCAAGGCCGCCTACCTGCGACAAATTTTGCGAGGGGAAGCGCATGTGCACGCCGCTCTGGCGCGCCGGCGATTTGTAGACCAGTATGTGGCGAAACTGCCGGCGGAGTGGAGAGAGGTGATTGTGCATTGTGGTCTTCATCTTTACTCGGACGGGAGAGGCGGGCCGATGGCATCGCCCTCGGCCGATATTTACCAGCCACTCTCCCAACCGCGCAATATCAGGCTCCTAAAGCTCCTGCCAGCCGAGGACTCGGCGTCCATGCTGCAGTGCACGCTCGCCGAATCGGTCTGCTTGCCAGATGTGCAGTACGAGGCCTTGTCCTACGTATGGGGCGAACAGTTGCCCGATACCATGCAGCCCATCCAACTCAACGGCTTTCCCTTTAGTGTGGGGAAGAACCTAGGGGAAGCACTGCGCCAGCTGCGGCCGCAGGCTGGGGACCCAAGGTTGCTATGGATCGACGCGGTTTGCATAGACCAGACAAACCTACAGGAAAGGGCCCAGCAGGTTGCACAAATGGACCACGTTTACCGCACCGCGGCCAACGTTATCGTCTGGCTCGGACTCGAGGCCGACGCAACGGCAGGGGCATTCGACGGCCTTACACATGGGCCCGCATCCGAGGTTCAGGAATTCGACGCCCTGCTGGTGAATGAGGTGACGCTCGAGTTTCCCTTTGTCTCCTCGCGGCCGGGTCAGCCGGGGCCATACGACAGGTATTCCCACAGATTTCCGAGCTCTCCGACGGCCGAGGGAGCGATCGCAATGATTCAACAGGCACTCAGGGAGACGCCAGAGCCGCTGCCAGAAAGCACCCACACGGCTAAGGCTTGCCTGAAGGTTCTTGCGCAGCCGTGGTGGAGAAGGGTTTGGGTGCTGCAGGAGCTCATTTTGGCCAGGAAGGCTACTGTCGAGTACGGGTCGGGCTCGATGCGCTGGCCACTTCTACAATTCATCCTATTCCTTTTTGCCCGGCGGCGCTGGGGCATGGAAGGTTTCTTCATATCCTCCAACGTCCCATCGCTCCGAGAACAGGAAATGGATGTTTTGTTGGAGCTTTCGGCCGAAATCGAAAAGGTGTTTCCTTTCTTCTTCCTGCAACAGAGCTCGGTGCTTGCGAGCAGGATCAAACCCGCCTCTATGGCGGATCTTGTGACGCTTACGCACAAGTTTGAGGCCACGGACGCGCGCGACCAGGTGTATGCACTCGTGGGCCTGCTGCCGACCGAAAGCCGTGAGCGAGTCATTTTTACCCCCAACTACAAGACTGACGCCCGGCGGCTCTGTGTCCGAACTGCGAGGTACTGGCTCGAGAGCACGGGGTCCCTAGAAGTTATTTCAGCCTGGGAAACGGTGCCGAGAGGCTCGGAGGGACATGGCGCGCAGAGGCCCGCACTCCCATCATGGGCGCCAGATTTAATCCGTCCTCACGTCTGGCAGTTTTGCTCTATCCTTATCGGCAGCTTTTCACCGTACAAACCAGTTTGGGAGTATTTGGTTGAGAAGAAGGCGCGGGAGGAGTCCAAATCAGCGTGCGCGAGCGCTCCAGATCAAGGAGCCGCAGCAAAAAATCCGGACTTTAGCACACTGCAACTGTACAACGCGGGTTTCCACCGCCAATCGCCCTACCCGCTAGAGTTCGCCGCCTACGACGAGGTGTTTCTCCCGCGGGGAGTTACGGTCGACTGCATCGTCGAAGTTGGCCCGATGCTAAGCAGTCCCCTTGCCGAGAGCGGGCGGACGTTGTTCCATGAAGGGAGATTGGAAGCAGCCCCGGCCATTGTGAACGAGCTCATGGAAACAATCCAAAGCTGGAAATCGACCGCACGTCTGTCGCAGCCAGGGACCTACCCCTCCACGGGAGAGCCTCTACACGAGGCGTTCTGGCGCACCATCTTCCTCGACCGGTACATCACAAGTGAAAGGGCCATGGACGAGCCTCTGAACCTCGCCCGGTTTGGAAGATGCGAGGGCGAGAATGCTTCCGGGCCCGCCCAATTCGCGGGCAGGTTTCCCCCAACAAACCCTCGACACGAGAGAAACATGGGGCTGGTTCTCGCCATGGATACCTTTTTGCGAGGTCAATTCGTAAAAGTGAACATGTTCTCGTTTTGGATGAGCATGTTCCGGACGTCCAAAGGTTACATTGGAGTCGGGCACCCTGATGCGCAAGCCGGGGACAAGATCGTGGTCCTTCTCGGCTCTCCTGTCCCGCTCATCCTTCGGGATTACCCAGAGGGGCACGTCATCGTTGGACAAAGGTACGCTCGCACACCCCTTGACGATATAGAGGTCCCTGGATACAAACCAGAGGCTTTTGCTAACTTGAATCCGCTTTCAAAACAGTTACGTGCACGGCATCATGGATGGCGAAATCATTACAGCCAAGATGAGCGGAGACAAGGATGTGAAGAAGGAGGAGTTTGAGCAGTTTCGCCTTATATAAGAGGCAGGGCGCTACACAGGGGTGATTGCAGGGGGCTGGGACTGGGCACGGCGCAGGGCTTTCCATATATCTAGAAGCATGCTTTGGCAGTTGCATGTATCTTTGCCTACATCCCTTCTGTTTGCGCAGTCCCTCGTCAAAGACAGGGCGGCCTCTCGTCAGAAACATGTGGTGCCTGGTAAGTCTGCGGCGGTTGGTACTTGACCATCGCGGTAAGTTGTCTGCTTTGGTGGTCAAGCTCCTCGACCCTCCTACGGTCAATGCCCGCCAGGACTTCGTCGTTTGTCGTTGACGACGGGCGCGGCGGCCTCTTGGAATCACAGGCTGGAGGCTCCAAGACTTCGGCTCGGCGGCGAAGATCATCTCCTGGGTTCGTAGAAGAGGCAGCCCCTGCGGCAGCTGTTTCTGCGGCATCGACCACCTGGCCGACGTCGTCCTCGTCGGCATCCACGACCTCGACAAAGGACACCCTTCGCCTATCGAACATACCACTGTCCTCATCGTCGCTGGCTGGAGCTTTCCCCTTCGCGCGCTCCCCGGCCCTCCAGCGGTAAATGCCCGCCAGCCATTCGTCATTCGTCACTGACGACGGCCGCGGCGGCCTGTTGAGCCCCCCAGCCGGCGGCGCCAGGAGGTCGCCTCGGCGGCGAAGAGCATCCCCAGGGCTAGCAGGAGGCGCAGCCCCTGCTGTCCGGTGACGGCTGCTGCTCCCGCCTGGGCGGGGTTCTCCTTCATGGCGCCGCGCCGCTGATTCATCCATCACAGGTGCTCCGTCATCCGGGCCATGAGGCCTGTCTTGGCGGCCGCCGGTTGGGCTCCCGTCTGTAGCATTCGCCTCGCTAGCACAAGCGGCAACAGATACCATCGACAGGTCTGAAGGCAGCGGGACTGGCGAGTACCGCCGTCCGTCATCAGCGCTTGGTTGCTCTTCTCGCTGTTTTCCTATTTTCCGGCTTGTATATGATGGCTTAGTACCCCTTGACACACCCCACGCATTCGCAGCTTCTTCTCTGGTGGCATCGACGGCCTCCTGGGTTTCGGGAGGTGTGGGCGCGCTTGGCCGCTCCCATTTACGGATGCTTTCAATATGGGCGGGCCAGCGGCCCGGTGGCGGTGCAGGCTGATAATCCTTCCGGTAGTCAGGTACCATGTGTGGTGACCTCTCTCGTGCCGCGGATACGTGCCGCAAACGCGAGTACCCAAAGCCAGGAGCATCGCGTACCGTAGGGGGCCGCACAGCTACGGGGTGTTGATAGACGCTGGGATTCCATGGTGTTGGGTTCCAGGGAGTAGGCTGGTTGGGGACGCCCAAGGCGTATTGGAGAGACGACACTATAGCGTTGACGACGTCTAATCTGCCGCGCGCAATTTCTGACATTGGGCCCACCCTCTCTTGTAGCGCCGTCAGCTGGTCGAGGAGCTTCCTCCTCGAGCCCTTGTCGTTGCAGCCAATGTATTGGCAGGCGAGTGTCTCTAGCTGGTCATACCAGTCGCCTTGCTGTGACTGGAGGTCACAGATTGCCCATAGAATCAGGCTGGGGTCTGGATCTCGCAGGGCCAGCAATTTGTAAGCGAGGATCTGAGTTGGAACATCGCCCATCCCCTTGGCCGTCTCGAGCACCAACAACGCCGCTCTGTACCCTGCTTGCGTTATCGGCAGCGGCTCCCAGAGTGGAACTTCTGTTCCAGCCGGTGAATAGACTGGCAGCAAGATAAAACCTGATCCAAAGGAGTATGTCGTCCCTGGATAGTTCAAGTACGCCGGGTTGACTGTGCATGTGTAGGGCACTCTTCGGACTTCTGGGTCGGTCTCACAACCTTCAGCTGCCGCCTCGTAAAGAAGCCATCGTAGATACGCTCGACTTCTCACGGCTTCCGGGTAGTCTTCCATGATGCGCCGCGCTAAAGACGCCGCCAAGGGGCGATGTTTATGCGTCACAGTCAAAACGCCATTCAAAACGGTGATCGGCGGGTTGAGGCACGACTCTACCGCCAGATTCAAGCTCGCGAGGATGGCGGCCTCGGAGTTCTGTGGGCGGGAGCTCAGCGAGCCGGGATCGAAGGGCTGAACTCCCTTGTGGCTGAGCCATGGCATGGCCGGCAGGAGCCAATGCGTCGCTGCGACGAAATCGCAAAGATCCCAAACGCGACCATCATCCATGAGATTGTCCACGATACTACCCCACTGGATCCAACCCACAAGCCTCGACTGCAAGTCGGGATGAAGCCCTTGGTAGCCCAACCGCAAAACCCGGAGAACCAAGACCATTAGTTGGAGCTATTTCATATTCTCGTCCTCGCATTAGCAATGCAATATGGCACGCCGGTCGCCCCGAGGGAGGTAAAGGCAATGGATGAAGTTAAGTCGTTCACCTCGAAATGTTGCGGGGGTGTGTGGAAAGTAAATCCGTCTAGCATTTCTATTGCATCACCGTATGCGCTACTGCGCCCGCCGGTGATGCTTTTCGCGAAGCCCGTTGTGAGCTTCCAACGGAAGCTGAGCAAGAGGCGTGTCCAAGCCCCGTAAGATGCTAGAAGTGTGTGTGGTGGGGTACTGGTTAGAGTGAGGGTGGGAGATTCTGGAGGGACGAGATGAAAAATCACCAGCTTTCGTGAATCCGGGATCGGAAATATATTCCTTGGGTTCCGGGAGCGCCGTAATCGCTTTATAGTCGCCAACGTCGAGCAAAAACTCGGCGTACTTGACGGAGACATACAGGTCGTCAGACGTGTAGGCCTCGAGACTGCAACGAAAGAACTCGTGAGCTGCCCTCACGTCACCAGTACGCCTCAATCGTTCGAAGGTGTCCAACTCGTGGTCGATGTTCGCAGTGATATGAAGCTCGAGGTTGATGGCCACGTTGGCTGGTTCATCTTTTTTTTTTGACGGCGCTGTGTTAGAACATATCTTTCCCGGGCACAATGGCCGGTTGGTCGGCTGCTTACCGGGGTCGCATTTGGAATGGAATCCGGCATTGTCGTAGCTTGGGACTATGACATCGCCGTCGTTGAGGAAACCGGAATCTGCGCTTCGCGAATAGTAGTCGTCAGACTCGGAAGCATCGTCATTATAGCTATCATTTTCGTCATCCCGCCACGAATGGGGACGGGATCTGGCATTATTCTCTGGAGGGGCGCCCGCTGAATAGGAATGCCGCCCGCTGGGGCCAGGCAGCCCGGCGTTGCTGGGCACCAGGTGTCGGGATTGCTGTGGCCCGTGGCTGTACGGATCTCTATTCCACCAGTCGGGCACATGCAGCCGCGGCCCTGTCGCGGATGGGCGCCTCTGCCTGACTTGGACGTTAGGCATGCTGATATGGACGGCGATCGCGAATCGCTCAGGCTGAGGATCTCGTCCGTCTCGGAGCATGAGACAGGGCGGCGATGAGAAATATTTTAAAAAGGGACATGTGAGAATGCCCTACCCTGGCAGCTGGAAAGCCTAGCACACTGGCACTCCGACTGCGCCACCACCATGCACATATGGTGGAACGTTGACTCTGCCTTGCCCACCCGCAGCCTTACCTCAACCCGACATGTCTGGCCATTGGGGGCCTCACTTGTCTACTTGGTAGCCATGAGAACGCGTGCGTCGGGCCGGCTTCTTTTTCCGCAGTGATTTGCTGTATTTTGTATACATGCTAATTTTGCGCAAACTAGACCAGGATTTTGGTGGTTTTTTTTTTCCGTGATCTTGCTTTACTGGAAGGTTCGCTTTACCTCTGTCGCATTGGATTGATGGATCGGTGATATTTCCATTGCAGCTGCGACAGGGGCAGTAGTGTGGTGGCGCGGTAGGTGGGCGATTGAGGCTGGGTCGGCCACATCGAGCTTCGCCCTCCTGTGATTTTCTTCATCTGCATCCGTTATCCGAATTTTTTTCCCCTGCTCACCCCCGTCTCTGGCCCCGATCTTCTAACAGTCCAAACGCCATCTTCCCGATCCCTTGTTCGTTGCCCCGATGGACTGTTCTCCCCCGCCCTCGGCCTCTCTGACTAGCCCGGACAGGACGTGCCCCGAGCTCAAGACGGCGGATTGGGATCGAAAGAGGGGCACGTACAGTTACCACCGATTCGACGACAGGATCCGCGGCCCGGCTTCAGTGGGAGGCGCGGAGTTTGGGAAAGTCCAGGTTGATCTGAAGTGGAACTTTCGCCAGTCGCAATGGGGCTGCATAGACGGCGACAAGCCCGCGGGAATCCTCTATCTTGAAATCGGCTTGCACCAGCAGGTTGACTACAAGCTCGCGTCCATCGTTGTGGAGGTGACGCTGGAGGACATTCCGCCCAAGGATGGCGACAGCGGCCCTGAGGAGGATGTTCCAGTCCAAATGACCGACTGGTTCGGCCCAAAACAAATCCTCGGTCGCGAGCACGTGCAGCATGTCACCAAAGACTCCAAATTCCAGCCAAGCTTGGAGGGATTTGGTTTTGGGATTGGGGGTGTCGGCAAGTCTTCGCAGTCCGAAACTCTCGTTCGGTCGCGCTGGGAGTTCGCCGGACGGCTTAAAAGGCCCAATCGCACCAAGACCCGAACGGTCGGCGGGACGCACTACAAGGTAAGTCATTGTTGCCGTCAACATCGTGCCCAACGAGACTCTGACATGGCACGAATGCCCAGACCCTCCAGTGGACCGTCTCGGAGAATGAACTCGAATCGGCGAGGAACAACACCATGCATGTTGCCTTCACGTTCGAGCACGGCGGCCAGCCCTTCCACATGCACGCCAAAGTGGAGGGGACCTTGAGGAGCAAGCGCGACCGCTTCGTGAACGGCCTACGGAATCTGACGTTTGGGCCCCGGCGTGACCGGCCGGGGGACGTATGGACCACGTATGTCGGCACGTACACTGGCTATCGGATGCCGCTGGACGAGCTGGCCGAGGGCCTGGACCTCGCTATGCAGGAGAGAAACTGGAGGAGCAGGCCGACCGAGGTCCCGGAGCCGCAGCAGGCGACGTTTGAACAGATACAGCCCCCGCCGCATGCTCCTCCTACCACAGAGGCTCTTGCGATCGAGCAAGAACAAGAGGCGGCTAGCGTTTGCGCAGAACAAGGCGAGCCCGGTGTGGCCCCCGCGGCGCACACGAGGTTGTCGCGTCCTGATCCTTTCCTGTATCTGGCTCCGACGCCCGAAAGCGAAAGACAGGACGTCTTGAAGAGGCTTGCAATGGCCGGACAGCCGTTCGCAGCGCCGTCGACGGCCGAGAAAGTGCCCAAGTATCGGCTGGGCATTCCGAGCATGTTCGTGGAGCCGGTCACGTCGACTACCGCTAGCCAACCACCTTCGGAAGTCTCTTCCCTAGCACGCCCGTCTGCCGCATCGACCACCTCCAAAGTCTCGTCGGCAACAACCTTGGTAGATCGCACCGAACAAAGAGCCACTATACGTCGCCTGCCCAGCGTCCCCAAAACACCACCATCCCCACCAGTCCCCGCGCCGGATTTGGTACCGCCGGAGCAAGGCAGAACAGCCTTTGGGATTCTACGGACTGGGTTCGTGGCAATAGTTCGGTTGTATCTGTTTTTTCTAGTCGGTATTCCACTTTGGTGTCTAAGGGCTGGCATCGCGATCGTCGCCGCCGCTGTCATGTTGGTGGGTGGAGTGGAGAGGAGGGCATCACAGGCGCTCGCAAATCACGCTCGGATTTGACATCCTTGTTACATCCAGAATCGGTGCATACTGTTATGAATATTGGGGTTCCACAGATCGAAGTCGACTCACTGGAACGATCGCCTCACTCCGAGGCTGCGAGTGCCAGTGGAGTGGCTGGCCAAGGCTTCGGATATACTCCCAGCACCAAACGTTGACCCGATTGATTTCAAAGCAGATTCTTACGGTGAGTCCGAGCAACGTTGGTTGATCTCACCAGAGCGAGGCCGACGCGAGAATTTGTCAGCGTTGTGGCCCGACTTCATGGAAGATGTCTAACGATAAAAGCAGGCGACATTCACCAGCGAAGGCAACATTACAAGTTTTCTCGGAACAAACCACCAAGGCAGCGCCTCAGCAATCCCCTCCTTCACAATGTCCAAGATCACATTCTACCGCGGCGACGGCTCCGTCGCCATGGCAGGACACCTGCTGCTAGCCTACCTCGGCGCTCCCTACGACTCGGTCCACATGGTCCGCATGGCCCTCGCCAATGTCGACCAGACCAAGGCGGCGAATACCGGCGGCTACGAGGCCGTAGACGGCAGCCTGCCTCACCAAGAATATCGCAAGATCAACCCCACCGGGTTGGTGCCCGCCCTGAGGATCGAGGAGGAGGGACGTTCTACGATAATCACCGAGGTCCCCGCCGTCATCACCTACCTCGCCTCGCTCGCCGACACTGTGCCTCAGGCAACACCATCGTCCGGCCCTGGCCCCAACAGCCTGCTCGGACGCAACGCTGTCGAACGTGCCAAAGTGTACGAGTGGATGGCGTGGCTGGCAGGCACGGTGCACGGGATCGGGCTGGTCGAGATCTGGCGGCCGTACCGGCTCGTCGCCGAAGGGGAGGCCGCCGCGGCCGCTGCACTCAAGAAGCGCGGGATGGAAATTCTGAACGAGGGGTACGCCAGGATCGAACAGCGGATCCGAGAGGGCGATCTTGGCATCGGGGGCGGCAAAGATGGGTACTTCACGGCGGTTGACTTCAACCTCTACGTATTCTGGAGGATTGGCGCCTTGATGCTCAAAGTAGTCAGCGAAGAATCGCACCCGCACTACGCCGGGTTGATGCGCAAGGTCGAGGCGCTGGAGTCGACAAGGAAGGTGTTGGAGGTAGAAGGGAACGGGGCTCTGGCGTTCAAGGAGTGATGTGATGAAGGCGCCGAGAAACAATAGGGCTGAGGAGGGCGCCCGAACGAGACCAGAGGCTAGTAGCATGCAGCCTCTTGTGGGACAGATAAGAAAATGCGACGGTCCATCCAGACAGAACACGTGGAGAGCGCAAGAGGGAAGGTACGCGGCGGCACCTCGATGGGACTGGAGCGGGTGCCTCCGGATGCAGACTGGCCCCATCCTGGCTTCTGCCATGCAGGAGCGTGGGGTTGAGTGGCTGAGTCCGCCGCCACGGCGCTGCGACAGAACCAGGCCACACAAGCCCTGCGCCGGAGGCCCCCAAAGCACGGAACAACGGCACGAAGACGCGGGGGATCGCAGCCCACAAGGGCCGGCAGTGGAGTGGGGAAGTGTATGGGTCTCCAGGGGTCTGAGTTCTGAGCCGAATCCATCCATCTTTGCTCATTCTGACCACTTCCGCATTTGGCACCGTGGCCATCTGAAATAGCCCGGCGGCAGCAGCGATAGGCATCCATTGAGGGGCTTCGGATGAAGTAGCTTTATTATCAAGCCACTTCGTGAAACAAATCTTCTGCAATCCTAACTTATCTAATGTGCCTGCTGAATTAAACTGGCCTGAGATGGTACAGCGAACGCCACGGTCGTGCCATTGGACGCGTCGGGATTCCCTGCATGGAACAATGGCCAGCGCATTCCTGTCAGCTTTCTGGCGGTGAGTCATTTGCCGCCGTCAGTGGCTTCTTTCGGGCTATGCTGGCCTGCAGCCTCCCGGCCCCTACCTAGCTGCCCTGGGGCTGGTTGGTGCATGCCCGTTTCGCGGCTTGTTCAGCTGCACAGACACCAGCCAGGCAACAGCCCCGCTGCCCCGGACGGTGCTGCAGGCAGACCCGGCCGATCCATGCCAGGCGGAGCCCGGAAGAGCGAGAAGACGAAGTCGAGAAGGGGCACTTGGTTGGACTTACAAAAGGGCGGCCTGCGCCCGTGGTATCGGTTTGCTGTCTTTGTCCTCATACTCATCCACTTCCTCGGAGCTTCAACGACTAGACTCCATCATTCTCTCTGCGATTCTTTCTAAAGTTTGATCATTTTCACCAAACCCCAGCCATGGCCCGGACCAAGCAAATAAACCAGGCCCGTGCCAAGGCGGCCAAGAAGAAGTCACAGTCGCAGTCTGCCGCCCCGCGCTGGCGGTCGGCGTCCGGCGAAGAGGAACTGTCTGCCATGCGCCGCGAGGCCGAGCGCCGCAAGCAGATATTTGACGATCGCCGTCGCACCACCGCCAAGTGGAGGGCCAAGATCCCCCAGGTCCGCAAGGTCAACTTTGAGGGCTTCAAGAACCGCCTGCAGCCCGTCGGCGAGCGCGACTATGCCATCGACGTCCTGATGGCCGGCCCCGGCATCCAGTCTCAGATCCGCCGGGAGCAGGGCCGCCGTCGCCGCGAGGACGCCGCCATCCGCCGGCGGAACCTGCTGCTCTTCAAGGGCCTCGAGGAGGACAACCTCGACGAGATCATCGCCGAGAGGCTCAAGGAGGGAAAGGGAGACAAGAAGCAGTCCGAGACCGTTTATGGGCCCGAGTCCGAGATTGCGCGGGTCCGCATCCAGTCTCAGCCCGTCCTGGGCCACCTCACTGCCCTCACCAACGACACGGAGAAGCGGTCCACACCGCGCACGTTCATGAGGCCGTTCCAGACCCTCGTCTACTTCCAGCCCAAGATGCGCGAGATCCTGACCGCGCTCGAGGAGAAGTGGGGCGACTACGAGGACCTCGACGAGCCCGAGACCCCGGAAACTCCTGTCGAGATGGATGCCGATCCCGAGACCATCATCACCGCCGAGGATATTGCTTCCGCCAAGGGCGATGACGCCGAGGAGACGGAAGATGACGTCGAGGTTCCCGACGACGTGTCTCTCAAGTCTGTCGACTCGGACGAAGACGAGGACTTTGAGGGCCTCATGGACAGCCCCGAGGCGCTGGCAGACATGCGCTGCTATGTCGAGTTTGTCGACAAAGAGATCATGCCACTGTACCAGCAATATGATGGCAACACGGCGAGCACGGTCAAGTTCGAGGACCTCTGGTCCCTGTACAGGCCCGGCGACCTCGTCTACATGCCCACGGGCGGCGACCCCGGCGGTCGGTACCACGAGGTCTGGCGCATCTACCGCGTGCGGGTGCCCGACCCCAAGGTGTCCTTCATGGAGACGACGGGCTGGGATTTCTGGGCCGACGACCTGATGCAGTCGGACGACAACACGTTCGAGCTCTCGGCCTACTACATCGACCACGACGGCACCAACCTCGGCGCCGTGCGCAACGTGTTCAAGATCGACTCCTTCGTCGGCGAGCGCGCCATCGAGTCGCTTCAGGTGTACCCGATCCGGTACCGGCACGACCACCAGAAGCTCATCGAGTCGCTCAAGGACCAGGGCCGCAATTTCATGAAGTATCTGCAGGTCGACGAGCGCCACCAGCAGTACAGCGCCTGGACCCTCACGCGTAACCCGCCCAACGAGAACACGCTCATCGACGACGAGATTCTGTTGGACGAGAACTACGACAAGATGTTCCACCCAGAGTTCGTCGAGAGCGACGTCATCGTGGACCTGGCCGAGGCCTACCTCAAGCAGCCCAGCTGGCGGCCGTGCTTCCACAACGTGTCGAACCACGTCTCGGTCGAGTGCGAGGCCGAGTCGGACGAGATGCCGGTCCGGCACTGGGTCGACCGGTCGCGCGGCCTGCTCGCCTACGCGCAGGAGGAGATCGTTCAGAAGAAGGAGGGCATCGAGATGCGGCAGCGGCGCGAGAACCTGGCGCTCGACACCTTCCTGCGCATGCGCGCCGCCGGCTCGCGCACCTTTGAGACCAACCCCAAGGACCTCGAGCTGCGCGAGGAGGACCTGGTGCTGCTGCCCAGGCGCATGTTTGCCTACGCCCTGCGCGAGCGTCAGTTCTGGCCCATCGACCTCAACTTCCTCAAGCCCATCCGCCGCGAGCCAGGCGTGTTTGAGAACCTGAAGATCCAGCGCGACTACAAGGAGGTGGTACGCAGCCTGGTCATGTCACACTTCCAAAAGAAGGCGCTCGAGCGCCGCTACGCCGACGCCTCCCTCGAGGGTCCCGGCCAGGACGTGATCCAGGGCAAGGGCCGCGGGCTGGTGGTGCTGCTACACGGCGTGCCGGGCGTGGGCAAGACGGCGACGGCCGAGGCGGTGGCCATGGAGAACAAGAAGCCGCTCTTCGTTATCACGTGCGGCGACCTGGGCCTGACGCCGAGCGAGGTCGAGAACTCGCTCAAGAACGTATTCCGGCTCGCGCACCTGTGGGACTGCGTGCTGCTGCTGGATGAGGCCGACGTGTTCCTGTCGCAGAGGGCCAAGAACGACATGAAGCGCAACGCGCTCGTGTCCGTCTTCCTGCGCGTGCTCGAGTACTACAACGGCCTGCTGTTCCTGACCACCAACCGCGTCGGCGCCATCGACGAGGCCTTCAAGTCCCGCATCAACCTGTCGCTCTACTACCCGCCACTCGACAAGACCCAGACGCGCGAGATCTTCCGCCTCAACGTGGCCAAGCTGCGCAAGATCGAGAGCGAGCGCAGCCGCATGACGGGCGAGCCGGCCCTCGTCATCAAGGAGGCCGACATCGTCGAGTTCGCGGCCAAGCACTACGAGGACCTGGCCCGCTCCACGGGCTGCTGGAACGGCCGCCAGATCCGCTCCGCCTTCCAGATCGCCTCCAGCCTGGCTCTGCACTCGTACTCGCAGCTGGCCGAGGAGGCGCGCGCCAGGGGCGAGAGGCCTCCGGGCCCGCCCGTGCTGGACAGGAGCCTGTTTGAGAAGGTGCAGATGTCGACCCAGAGCTTCGACCGCCACATGCGCAAGGAGAACGGCTCGTTTGAGTCGCAGCTGCCGCACCGGGGGACCTTTGCCGAAGATGACTGAGCTTGATGATTGAGTTGACGCCCAGCGGTGTTTGGGTGTCTGTATGATGCCTTCTTTGGGTTTCCTTGGGTTTCCACGCGGCGTTTGAGCAATTAAATGATCTGATTTTCTCTGCGGCTTCCCGGCGGTGTGATACGTATGCAGTGTGCCGGCCTTGCTTGATGCTTCTGATGCCCATACAGCGAGACAGCCATGTAACGCCAAGGCTAGTGTTGGATATCAGCAGCGGGTAGATGCCTTGCGGTGGTGCCTCTACCACCACGCAACGGAAAGCGACTCTTTTTCATCGTTTGACACTCCCAATGCTTCCATGTGACGCTGCAAATCTGATTCTCTCGCCGCTCCGCACTACTCCCTGCTTGTCCTACGCGAGGGTGCGGTGTCGTAAATTCCCAGCCATGTATATACCGCTGGACTTTTCCCCTTCCTACCCAAATCCCTCCCTGGCCCTCACCCGATACATCACCACAGCGCTACCTCTTCACAAAGAGCATGACCTAGCCCCTTCTATATACATTTTGACGTACAACCTTATTGCCCCGACTGCGGCGGCGTGCTCTTTTCTTTCCTCCTCTTCCCGTGCCCTGTTCCTTTCCTCCATATATAGGACCTGACCCTAACTTGACCTGCACCTGTTATTTTCCTGCAGCTGAGAGCCATTCGACCCGACAGAAAACAAACCTCGTTCACACCCTTCGGCCAATATATAGAAGTCCGAATTCGACTTTCCAGCCGTTCCAGCCTTTCCAGCCGCGTCGGTGCCGCACGCTGCTTCCCGTCCCACAGTCACTTGCGTAGGTGGCTCTTCATCCCCCACAGAAATGCTTCAACGCATATAAATCGCCCTGCTCTGCTATGGGTCACATTTGACGTTTTCGCATTCGCCGGCTGTCCCTGACGATGATGTGACCTCGCGCGACTACTTGTACAGATTCCCCCAACGCCGAAACCCACGAAATCTCGCACGTGCATGTCGCGCAGCTGGATCGTGGGAGGTCCGACTTTATCTGAGGCGACAGTTCCTGCAAGTTACATACGTACAGGACGTTTATTTCGGCGGCCCACACGTTATCGGTAAACGATTGCCCGCTGAACACGCGGACATGGTTTCCCGAGGCTGGGCTTGGTTCGAAAAGGACTTCATGGACCTGCAGATTTGCGACAGGTGGGATGCTAGCCCTGTCCGCACGCGCCTCGCCAGTTCGCGCCCGGCCACCGGGGGAGCCTCTATCGAATGGTGACGGATGCTGCCGCCCTGCGCGCCCACCTTAGGGTGGGCACTTCCTGGTGTTCACCCCCATCCAGCCACAGTGGTCAGCACTCCAGTAAGGACCTGGTTTTCCGCGATGGCGGTTTCTTGAAGCTAACGTTGGTGGTTTGAAGTCGACTGCCGCGCCGTCAAACAGTGGATACGGTCGAACCGGGCTCGCGCCACACCTGCCAAAAACGTACTGCCCAATCTGCATGGAGGCAGATCTTCACAGCCAGCAACTTCGCACTGGCTGGCTCACGCCGAACGCCGCCCAAGGCGCCCTACCCAGTGACCGAGAGGGCGGACGTAGTCCTGAGCGAGTGCAAGCAGATACTATGGGAATCGAATGCTTCCGACCCATCGACACGGTGTGATTGTATTCCGACGCCGAGCAGGACGCGTCCGAGTGAGGGCGGGCAACGGCGGAAAAGAAGACCGACGGCGGCCGATCAGCAACCAGCCAGAGCCGGGGAGACTTGTGCTGCTCCATTGGCGACAACGAACTATCGCCATGACTCCAATGTGATTGACGGGGCTGGCTGTGTCGTCTGTGTCGTCTGTGTCGTCCTTTGCCTCGGGGATTTCCTTTCAACATCGACCTCCCGCTGATGCAAGCTATTTGGTGGGCGCATGGTGGTATAGCTATTCCCGACGTTGGCATAACGCGGATTCGGGCTCTCATCAACCTCCTGGTTTGGGAAAACCTCCATGTCTCTTCCGTCACCACCCGTCCCTCAGCTCGCTATGGCCTGCACTATTCGGCCGCCGGCAATGGCAGAACCGATACAGGCGCTGCCGCTCTTACGCCGAGGCTGGACGGGGACCGGAAGGTCCTCGCCGTAGCGGGTGGGGGAGGTCTGTCTTGCGCCAAGCCATCGGCTCCCAAATTGAGCGCGAGGCGCGTTTGATGCACAGCAAGTGCATTGGACCCGGCCGCTTTGCGCGTGCCGCCCTCGCCGATGCTGCCACATCAGCGAATTTGCCAAGACTCGAGCCCGCGGTGGCTCGGAGCCGGATACGCGTTATCACCCACCTCCGATCCGCGGCTGAAGGGGCCGCAGTGCCAAGGCCGCGGCTGGACGAGGTGCCGAAACCCGCCGCCCCCCTGACAAGAGCAAGCACAGGTGGCCGCTGCGGCAGTTGGCACACGCGTGCAACAAAGCCAACACGAGATACGGATATCTCGCGGGGAGGGACGGCATCTTGGCATGCTGCTTCACCGAGTCCGCGGCGCAGGGCGAGAAGGTATGGCAGGTGTCCATGATGCCCGTCATGTGGACGCAGCACGGTGACCAGAGGTGGGGCCCAGGCACGTGAGTGCACGACCCACCCCGATGTGCCACTTTCCTATTCTGGTATCGCCTACAGGGATACCTCACACACCTCCCTTGGAATCTGATGGGCTTTCGCGAGCGCCAGTCCGGCGCGGCTGACGATGAGTGACGCCCGGAGCCCCCCGAGCAAGGGCGTAGCGACAAATGTTTCTCCCTCACGACCTTCATCGCGGGCAATGCGCCGCACGTCGACAGCTCATGGGATTTGTCGAGGCCCCTTCCTGGGATGGCTGATACGAATGCTCTATTCCCAGTCCCCCTCTCACCATCTTCATCAGAGCCTCCCTCCATCAACCATCGACCTCACCGGCCGTCCCCTACCGCGCAGGCCGGCCCGGCCTGGGGTTTCCTACCCTGCATCAAGCGATATGTCAAACATTTACACAGGAGCTCTGTTGGGATAAGTCGAAAGGCATTCCGCAGCACGACCAACTGTCCACCGACAAGGGCAAAAAGGCAGCTGCTGTCACATGGGACGACGAATCCGAAGAGGAAGACCATGTTTCCTAGCTGATATAGGAATATATTCATCACGTCACCAATCTACTACACGCACTGCTTCTTTGTAGGAGAACTCGTCCACACGGGCATGGCCACGAGCGGGGACTTTTGATAGCTACAGGATTGATGAAAGGGCGGCAATGGGCCCTGTATGCCGGCAGCATCGTGATTTAAAAAAAAACACACACACACACACACACACACACACACACACACACACACATCATCATCATCATCATCATCTTCTTGGTTTGCCGTCCTCGCCATCCTGACGTAGAAGTGATTGGGGACGTCGCGAGAGGTTCCCTGCATTGATCTGTCTCTGTCTTAGAAAATCATGTCCTAGAAATGGAGTTACTTGGGACAGCGTCATGATACCCTCCAGCCCGAAACCACATCGAACAGTGTATCTGTCCCACCAACATTGCCAGGGAAAACCACATATGGGATCCCCGCCCACTTCGACTCGGGCTCGTCGCACCTCCACAGCGGCACGCCCGCGGCCGCCTGGCCCACGATCTCGGCCCGCTTGAACCGCAGACCCTTTGTGGCCATGTCGGACGAAGTGATGCCTCCCTGACGGCTGTGTTAGCGGGCGGCCCCTCTAGTGACATGAGACGCAGACATACTGACCTTTGCAATTATGTATCGCGGCCTCGTGTCGAGATTGACCAGGAACGACACCGGCGCCGCGGCGACCATCGACCCAATGTCCAGACTCCTCGCCGCGTCCGACCCGACGATCAGCTTCCGACTGGTCATTACCAGCACGTCCTGGCCCCTAGTGATCTCCCTCTCGGCCTGCTCGATCGCCCTCCTCACCTCCCCCGACACGCTTTTGCTTGTAAAGCCCTTGTCCTCCAGCAACTTCTCGACGTCCAACACGATTGTCGTCAGGGCATCCCCGCTCCGCCGCGTCAGCGCCTCGAGCTGCGCCGTCGTCTTGGGCACGTACGAGCCCGCAATCACCAGCCCACCTGCGCCGCCCCTCGCAAACCCAAGCTGCGCCGCCGTCACGGGCGGGATGGGCGAGATGCCCAGGCGTGAGGACACAAAGGCCGCGCCCGTCCGGAACAGGTACCGCCGTCCGTGCTCGGCCGCGGCGCGCAGCAGCGCCAAAACGGCCACGTCGACGTCCTCCTCGGCGGCCGCGTTGACGATAATCACGTCGCCGCCGCCGCGGGGCAGCGACAGCAGCCTCTGCAGCACGCGGTCCACGCCGTCGGGCACACGGATCTCGGACGCGAGCTCCAGGGTGGCGACGCGGCCGCGCGGGACGGCGCCGGCGCTCTTCTCGGCCACGTACTCGCGCAGGTCCGAGTTTGCGTAGCCAAAGGTGGCGTCGCGCGCAAAGGGCGTCTGGGCCGCGGGCACCAGCGTCGCCCCGTCCTCGGAGGCGACGTAGTGGACCCCCGCGAGGGTGTAGCGCCCGCCCTGGAGGAAGAAGGGGCAGAGGACGGTGGCGTCGGGCCTGCCGAGGACGGCCGAGGCGGCGTCGCACTCGAGCGGGAAGTGGCCGCGCAGGGTCGAGTCGCCGCGCAGGACGACCTCGAAGGAGACGCCGCCGGCGGACGCGGCCGCGGCCAAGAGGTTGGTGCAGATTTCGGTGATGAGGTCGCGCGCCGGCGCGGGGTGCAGGGCGCGGCTGTTGGTCAGGATGAAGAAGCCGGAGCCGGGCCCGGTGCGGCGAAACTCGGCGGCGAGGGCGGCCTCGTTCCAAACGGCCAGGACGGGGATGCCGTGACACGTCTGCGTGCCGGTCGGGTCGTCGTCCAGGACCACGAGGATGGGGATCTTGGAGCCGCCCGATGCGAGGACCTTGCGGATCTCGGCGCGCGGGTTGCTGGCAGTCAGGGGTGGGAGCGCGGCCAGGGTGGCGGCCAGGTCCAGGGGTGGAGGGTCGTTGAGTGACGCCATCTCGAGTGCAGGTTGGTGGGTTTTGTGTCTTTGTGGAAGATCAGTCGGGCCCGTCAGTTGCAACGATATGGTTTTGACGACAACTTCCTACATGCTACCTATGTACTCGCAGCAGAGTGCATGGCTCGACGGTATCAGTCTGGCAGCCACAGGTCACAGGCCCACGCGGACTTCTCGCCGAAGTCGCCGGCGGCCACCGAAGCTCAGTGGGGCAGCACCGTCAATCGTCATGGCCCGGCCCGGTTGTTTGGATACGTCTTCTTGTGTTGATTTTGCTATCCTCTGCTTGCGTTGGGATGATAGAATTTTGTTCTTGGGCATTTTCATACCTTTCATGTTGCCTCTAGTATTGATCCCATCAGGACCCGTGTAGACACCGCCAGGCCTCTCTAAGTGGGTCGGTAGGCGTATTTAGACTCAAAATCACCCACAGTTTCCCGGCTTGGGGCTCAGCCCAGGTGGCTGCCACACGCTGGCGCAAGCGATACCGACACTGATCTCGAGTCTCCCAAGCCTGACTCTGGACGGCCAAGGTGCGGAGACGTGATGGCGTCGACGAACACCCAAGCTGGCCGCGCTGCCCAGGTTCATCATCATTTGTGGGGCGACATTCGTCCAGCTTGGCTGGCGGCATGTCGAGATGCTGGGACTGGGCGCGTTAGTTGGTTTGGTTAAACCCTCCCCATGCCCAGAATTCCACTGCAGTCAGGACGACTGCATGGCCGTCTCTGGCCAGCTTGGCTCCTGGGCGAGTCTTGGGCATCACTACCAGTTTGACGGGCCCCCTCACCCTCGAGGGCACGCCATTCCACCAAATGCTTCTCCTTGTCCCCATGGGGTAGCCTGCTCGGCTCTCGGCAGAAAGGAGGTTCGCCTTGAGTTTATGTTCTCTAGGCATGCCGAGATGTCTGGACCTCACCTCTCGCTAGCGGATATAAAATCCGCGCCATCGCCTGCCTCATCTCACTGTCGCCGACGTCGATCCTCATGGGCTTTCTTGCTCGCTTGCAAGTGGCCATTCCCTTTGACTGTCTACTATTTGGCTGCCTACTCTAGCGCCCTGCGCAACCATCTGTAGTCATGTCTTCTTTTCTGCAGCGCGTCGTCAAGAACGACGCGATGCGCGAGGACCCTCCCGAGATCTACGGCTGGAGAGTCTATGCGCTGGCCTGCTCGGTGCGAGACAGTTCCCCAAAGAACGTACGTATGACCGAATCACTAACACATCCACATCCTCGCAGGCATGCTTCTGCGGGCTTATTTTCGGCATCGACACGGGTGTCATCGGGGGCGTCGTCCGCATGGACGAGTTCAAGGAGTGAGTTTGTCGCAAGGCGCCACCACCACAAGGACTCGCTAACACGGCTTCCCCCTCCCCAGGCTTTACCAGCTCACGGGCAGACACGTCAGTGATCTTGAGAGGGCCAACCTCAGCGCCAACATCGTGTCCACGTCACAGGCCGGCTGCTTCATCGGGGCGCTCCTCGCCGCCCAGACTGCCGACCGCTGGGGCCGCCGCCCGGTGCTCATCTGGGCGGCTGGTGGCATCAGCATCATCGGCGTAATCCTCCAAGCCACCGCTTCCGGTGAGTTCCTTCCCCCTTGGCGGCCAAGGAAGGAAGAATCAAGTTGGCTGGCGACTGACTCCCATCCAGGCCACCTCGCTCCCATGTACATCGGCCGTTTCGTCAGCGGCTTCGGCACCGGCTTCGCGTCCATGGTCAACCCGCTCTACATCGCCGAGAACGCGCCGCGTGCCATCCGAGGCGGCCTGACGGGCATCTACCAGCTCTTCATAGTTTTCGGCATCTTCATCGCGTACTGGATCAACTACGGCTGCCTCCTGCACGTCTCGGGCACGGCGCGCTACATGATCCCGCTCGTGATCCTGGGCGTGCCGCCGGGGCTCATCATGGTCTCCATGTACCTCTGCAACGAGAGCCCACGCCACCTGGCCAAGCAGGACCGCTGGGAGGAGGCCCAGGAGGTGCTGGTGCGCATCCACGGCCTGCCCATCGAGCACCCGTACGTGGCCAAGGAGTTTGCCGAGATCCGGCACGCCATCGAGTCCGAGAACGCGCTCCTGGACGGCGCCGGGTGGCGCGGCCTGACGAAGGAGATGTGGACCATCCCGGCCAACCGCAAGCGGGCGCTCATCTCCATCACCCTAATGTTTTTCCAGCAGATGACCGGTGCGTTGCTCACGTGCCCACAGAGAGTGCCCACAGACACAGCTGGTGTTGTGCTAACAAGGCTTGCCCTGTGTAGGAACCAACGCCATCAACTACTACGCACCTCGCATCTTTGCGTCGCTAGGCGTGATGGGCGCAAATAATGAGCTGTTCGCGACAGGCATCTATGGACTGGTCAAGCTAATCGCCGTCGTCATCTTCCTCATCTTCGTTGCCGACTCCCTCGGCCGCCGCCGATCGCTTTTGTGGACCGGCATCGGCATGGGCGCGACCATGCTGTACATCAGTGAGCAAGACACTCACTCTGTGCACTGCCAGTCCCGTAAGCACGCCTGATCACGTCTAACCATGTCTCTCCCAAAATAGCCATCTTCATCGCCGTCGCCCGCCCCACCGAAAGCAGCGGCCCGCCCGGCGGCGCGGGCTGGGTGGCGCTCATCTGCGTGTTCCTGTTCGCGTCCATGTTCCAGTTCGGCTGGGGCCCCGTGTGCTGGATCTACGTGTCCTTCGCCGCCGCGACGCAGTGGCTCTTCAACTTTGTCGTCAGCCGCGCCGTCCCGCCCATGCTGGAGGAGCTCGGGCCGGGCGGCTACGGCACCTACGTCTTCTTCTCGACCTGGTGCTTTCTGATGGTCATCTTCGTCTGGTTCTTCATCCCCGAGACCAAGGGCCTGAGCCTCGAGGCCATGAACGAGCTGTTTGGGTTCGAGGAGGTCCTGGGCCGCGGGAAGGACGCCGAGGCCGAGTCGGTGGACAGGGCCGGTGGTAGTGAAAAGAAGACGGACAGCGACGGAGTGCCTGCTATAACAGAAATGGAGGGATCGAGGCCGGGACAGGGGAAGTAGGTTAGTGGAAGTGGCAGGGCCACAGAATATAACTTTTAACGTGGGGTGGATGGACGACGGAGAGAAAGGTGTTGGAAGGAATGGTAAATATTTCAATCCACCCAAAGGTCGCCCGTCGTCGCGCGAATGCGGAGCAATTTAACACGCTAACAAAAAGACGTCCGCGACAGTTGTTTACCTGCCACCTTAGTAAGTATGAACGAACTAAGAAAAAAAAGAAGAAAAACAGAAAGGGAAAAAGAGAGGTTGATGGCCTGCATTACAGGCGCACCGGGAATTGAGCCCGATGCGGGGGTCGAACCCGCAACCTTGAGATTAAGAGTCTCACGCTCTACCGATTGAGCTAACCGGGCGAACTCCGATACGGGGAATCGAACCCCGGGCTCGGCAGGACTCAGGACGGGAAGTCGGTTGAGAGTGCCGGATGTTAACCACTACACCATATCGGATGATCGCTTTTGTTGCCGAACCGTCCCTGGCGCGGGTTTATATGTGCGCACGCCCTTGCGTGGTTTAGGGTTGGGCAAAATCCAACTCAAGATATGGGAGCGACTCGTGCGAGCATGACGTGCAGACGGGAACTGACGGATGGGGCGTGGGAGTGGAGTTCCCCGGATAAAGGCTTGTTCAGCGAAGCCCGACGTGCACCAAAACCCTGCTGACACCGCCACTTACCGGACGGAGCGCAGCGAGGGGAGGTAAGCAGGTGGAAGCAGGGTTTTGGTGCGCGGAGGGCGTAGCTATTCTTTACCTGGGTAATTTAACAAAAATGCTAACAAAGGTTTTTCCTATTTAGGATACAATTCGCACTTTAAATAGCTTTCGACCAATTCCCGCACGAAAATCCAGCCATTCCGGTTCGAAATTGGTTAATTTTAATGCTAAACAATGCGGCGGGGGAAGGGGTCGTAATGGTAGCCCTTTGCAAAAAAAAAGCCCTTCGCAAAAAAAAAGCCTTTCGCAAAAAAAAAAGCTTTCCGCAGGAAAAAAGCCTTTTGCAAAAAAAAGGGGGGTCCAGGGGGTTTCCCCCGGAAATTACGCTTTAAACGTTAAAAATTTAAATAAAAAAAACGTAATTGGATTTGCTTGTTTAATTGCTTAAAGCCATTAAAGCAATTAAAGCGATTAATGCAAATTGGTGGCGGCGACGTTGTTGCAATTAATTTAATTAATTTTATCGTTAACTATCGCGAAATTTGGCTTGGTGTTTTGGCCTTTAATTAGTGCTTTAAGCGGGGCTTGTATCTTAAAGCAATTAAATTTACTGTTAAATTTATGTTAGGAGCACGGGCGAGACCGCCCGGCAGAAAGCGGGGAGCGTCAGATGCACGGGCGAGACCGCCCGGCAGAAAAGGAGGAAGGG